ACAGCTGCAGTCCTTGACACTTGCATTGCTTCTTCTTTTCCAGGTGTCCTGGCTGGCCATGACAACCGTGTCAGCTGTTTAGGTGTCACTGATGACGGCATGGCTGTAGCTACAGGGTCTTGGGACAGTTTTCTCAGAATCTGGAATTAACTGGGAGCCAAACATGTACATTCTCCATTTGAGATCTGGAGAGATCAATGCTGCAGCCTATAGCTGTGAAATAACATTTCTACCTTGTATTTGCAGGTGAAGTTTTTCTATTCACTGATTATTACACAAAAAGGCTTTCTGTAAACTAGAAAAAAAAATCAAGTGAAGAAATAGGGGAGGGGGGAAGAAATCACTGACTTTTTAAAAGGGGCCAGCACACATAATCATGGTGACCGACAAACTAAGAGCCAGTCTTTTTGTTTTTGGTGGTTTGGTTAGATTGTCCTTGAAGGGTTTTTGCTTGTGCTCAGTCTGCTAATCCTGTACTTTTTTTTTGTACATAACAGAATATACACATTATAGCAGCCAATCATGTAACATTTGTCTGTATGTAAAGAAATATGTTTGCATTTTTTAAGGAACTACATTTATAGCTTTGCTTTTAACCCGAGATGTCACTTCTGAGTTTTGTAGTGGGTGAACTAGATTGCTGTTTTCAATGTTTTTTGTGAATTTACTGTAGATAAAGTGAAGCCAATGGTATGTATGTGTTTTTTATAATGGAAGGCATTTGGCTTTTTTTTTTTTTTAAAGGCCCTGGAGACTCCCAGTTAATACCTACAGCCTTATTCACTCACTTCTTGACCCGCTTGCCTATTTTTAATCAGGGGGGGCTCTTCCTTCAAGCCAGTGGTTCCTGGTTCATCCATTGGCAGTCATGGCCTCCAAACACCAAGGAGTTAATGCCAGGCAGGCTTGGCAACAACAGCAGAATTAATTTGAAAATAAAATAATTCCAGTTCCCGAAGTTTTAGCTTCCTTCCTGCAGCTTTTTGCATCAGTTATTCCACGCAGTCCGTGGGTGCAGAAGCCAAGGGGTCACTGCTGCCGTGCAGTGTCGAGTGCTCAGCTCTGGCTGAACGGGTGGCTTTGGCCCATCTCAGGCTCCAGCTGATCTGCACTGACAGGGATTCAGCTGCTGCTCGGAGTGTGTCTCTGCAGGGCCTGCTCAGTCCCACACCAGCTGAGAAATTCAGGAGGACTTTGCTTGAATTCCTAAAGAGGATTTAACTGTGCAGTTAATCGCCTGTAATCTCCCTCCAAATTCGGGGGTTGCCAAAGCACAGCCCAGCCAAAAGTGCTTGTTGTCAGTTCTGTGCAGTGAATTATCAAAGGAATTGTGTAACTGAAATGCTCCTCTGTGACCCCTGAGAACTTCCTACGATAACCTTGACAGTGCTCGCTCCGTGGTCACTGAGGCTGTGCCAGGGGGTTTCTGGATGCCAATTGTTCTGCAGCTCCAACACTGTAAATAAATAGCCCTTTCCTCTCCCGATTTTTTCTGATTCAGATGTCAGTTGCTTCTAAATGTGATGAGGTGCAGTTGAGTGTAGAGAGAGGAAAATCAGGTGACTGATGCCCATTTGAAACTGCCCGGGGAGGTTGCTTAACTTTTTGGTGCCTGGCAGCCTGTCTGAACTCGCAGTGGATGTTCCCTTGGGAATCTCGACGTCTGTGGCTTTTTTTTGAAAGGGGGTTATGTCTATTGGCTTCTCTTAGGTGACTTACTTAAAAAATAACGTGGATTTTAAATCACCAGGTTGGAAGATGGTATTAGTCATCGCTCCTCGGAACTGATGGGGGAGTCTGGGTGTCTCTGGGTCAGGTAGGCAAGATAAGGGCCCAGAATCCTGTAATACATCCAACTGGATTTCTGGCTGAGATGACTATTTGTCAAGGTTCTGACATTTTTAATCCTAAATTTCAGTACTTCCAAACTGTGCCTGTAAACTTGCCATGTCTATAATGGTGAAGGTGCCAGTAAATGTACCAGTCAATCACAGTAAATTCACTTTTAAAATAAGAAAAAGGCACCTCTTGTGCTGGAGAAGGAACATTTCCTAACAGCAGCCTTGTGGTGTAGGACCAAAATCCCACTGTATTGTGTCTCACAGGAATTCCTCAGCGTTTTGCTTTATGATCTGTCTGCATTAACGAACTATTGTGGAATTCTTGTAACTCTCTTAAGTGAGCAGCTCTTTGGGATCTTGCAGACTCGGTTTATTTTTTAGTGCTGCACTCGATTATTTTTATTTTTTTTTTTTTAACTCACAGCTGCCTTGGGTGAATCATTCTGGAAATTTGTTACTAAAGAATTTTAAGAAAATATTCTTTTTCTAAAAAACTTTTTTTCCATAGAAGTGTGTTTTGAACCAATTTCCTAGTCAACACCTTTGCCAAGACAGGTGCCATTTTTACATTCTGGTATTAAAGCTGGTTTCTACTTGTGAAACTCCAAAACCAATTTTACAGCTGTATATAACTTTTCTTACCAGTTCAGGTATCCTGTAACCGTGGTAATGGCTCTTGTAAGGTTATTACTGCAAATAACTTCACTGTCATTGTTGGATGGCTGTTGTCTGTTGGATTCAGCTGCTTTTAGAATAAATGCTAAGGAATGCCCACTGCTTGCTGAGGTGTCCAAAGGCATCACAGAGCCCTGCCTGCCTCTGCTCCTTGGTCACCCTGGGTCTGAAGTGCCCCAGGTCCGGGGGGGCTCCTGTGTCGGTGCATGAGGAGACGTTGGAGAAGCCCGAGCACAGCGGGGGAAACAGCGCCCAGTGCGTCTTGGGAACTTGGAGAAAGCCCGGGATAGATCCTGCCCAGGTGATGTTTGCTGTTTCATTCCTGCCCTGGAGATGGGTTATTTTGTTAAGCCTACAGATTTTCTAAGTACCACAGGTGCTGTGTGAGGCCATTTGGTGACTCACACAGGCATTCCTGTTAAAGGGCTGCCTGACCTTTCAAGGTCGATGCTCCTTCTAAAATGGATGTGGCTTCAGTGGTAAAAGCTCAAACTCCTCCTAATACAAGGAAGGTAATAAAATGACCCTTTGTAGGTTTTACTTGAAAGGTTTTATCCAGCTTTGAATCTCAAAGAAACTGGTGTGTGCCACAGTTACCATGGGCTTGAGTGTGCAGCTCCTGCGATTCCTGACTGCACCATGACAGCAAACTCACAGCAGGTCTGGCAGCTCTAGTGGGCACATCTTCCCTGGATTTCAAAGTTTGTTGCCAAACTCCATTCCTAGCTGAATTTCAAGTAAATTGTGTCATTAAGAGCTGGAGTAGCCAGGAGCATTGTGCCAAACAGGGCTGGGTTGCTCTTGCCCAGCCTCTCCTCTGAAGGTCATGGCTTGGGAAGTGGAACCATGTGCTTGCTGTAACCATTTGTGTTATTCAGGTAGTTTGTCAGTGTTTTCTAACGAGACAGAACTTTGCAATCGAGAGCTCTCCCTTAGGGCGAGTGCCCAGCCTGGGCTTGTTCCCGTGTTGACTCAGGCGTCTGTTCACTGGACGAAGCTGCTGCAGCGTCGTGCTGATGTGCACTCCGTGCTCCAGTCATGTGGCCTCTTCCCATCTGTATCCAGACCTTTTCCTTCCAAACGTCACCACCCTCTCACTGCAGAGAGGGGGCAGCGTCCGGCAGAGCCGACAGCTCAGCGTGCTGACGAGATTTGTACGGGTGGAAATGGAACAGAGAATTAAGAGGCTTTTCCCTGCCTATGGACAGGGCCTGACCTCGCCTTGGTAAAGCTGAGCTGGTGCAGCAGCAGGTCCCAGCGTGTCCTTATGTAATGCATGGGTTGGAAATTGTTAACTCTTTACTTCAGTTGTGTAACCGCTCGTCCCACGATGAAGTTCACATTAATTACTTTAAGGTGGAATGAAAACATTGTGAAAACATTCCAAGAGTTGTAGTCTGTCCTCTCTGAGGACACTGTCACCTCCACTAGGTTTAGTGCTGTGCTTTAAGATGTTGGTGAGAGTATTGGCTAATTGGACTAGTTGGTATCAATGGTTGTGTAGCAGAATGGCTGGTTTTGAGATAGCATTTCCTGTACAAGTACTTAGCATGGGTTGATGGTGCACTGTGTATCCAGTACTCTGGCATGCATGCTGGTCACACTCCTCCTACACTTCAGAGGCACCAGAGCCTTTTATCCAATTGCTGGTTATGTAAAATACATGCAGAATGTTAATGCAGTGTTGTTATGGTAAATGTGTGAACAGTGTTACTAATTGATATAACTGATAACAGATTACATGTGCCTGACATTCTTATACCACACAGTATGTTTAGGTTTTAACTAATATGGACTTCGGTGGAATAGTCTTAGATATTTCAAGCCTTTGTTTTACTTACACAATGGTGCTCTCTTTGTGTTTTTCTCCTTTTTTTTGTTTTTTAAATAAAAGCATCTGAACACTTGTAGTACATATTACATCCAAAGGAGTCCAAAGCAAAATGCTTCTAAACATGCTTGATTTTACTTTGCCTTTAGTTCCCAGGATCTCTCATCAGCTTTTTTTGTTTTGTTTTTACTTGTTGCTGACTACTTTGGAAAACTTTGGTAATGTTACCAATTATGAAGTGATTCTGCACTGCCTTTGGATTGTGTATGTATTCAGAAACAGTCTTAAAGCTTTTATTTAAGCTATTAAAAAAACCAGGGACTTGTGCCATTTGTTCTTTAACAGTGCTGTTGTAAAAAGACTTCCCTGTGACAAAAAAATCACTTGCTATGAACTCTGTTCATAGCTTTTTTTTCCAGGATGGATCTTTTTCTTTGTATTTGTACAGTGGCTCAGTGAAAGATGTTGCCATGAGTTGATATTGTAACCAATAAACAAGTGCTTTTAACCATCTGGGGTCACCTGTCAGTGTTGTGTTAGAGCATTCCCTGGGGAATGCAAATGGGATGGGAGATGGAGCAACCTACCCTGGATCTGCATTCCCTGTGGGAGTGAGGTGCAGGTCTTCGCCTTGGACAGAGCTGCCAAAGAACTTAATAGAGCACAGGGGTAGTACTTTTTTAATAAATAACTGCAGAACACGTGCATGTAAAGTTTAATCTCGATACAATGTCAATAAAAATGCTCCAGAAACAGAGCACTGATACACAGCTGTGCCCTCACTGACACCACTCACAGCTGGATTTCAGAGTTTCCCTCAACCCCCCAAGAACAAACACAGGAACAAACACCCCAAGACAGTGGTGGAACCGTTCTTTGTCTTCCCTTAATCCTCTGGCATTACATCTTACATCCACTTCCTGGTAAGATAGCCCTTAGTTAACGGAAAATAGCAACACCTTGGAGCCGAGTATTTCATTTAGTCATGTTAACTAAATGCCATAAAAATACATAAATACTCTGAAAAGGGTTTTTCTTTTAAAATAAGTTAATTTTAAAAAGTCTAGTTAGAAAAAAGTAGGTGTTGAATGACTGCAGATGGCAACAGCAGAAACTTTTCCTTTTTCTAAAAAGAGGCTTTTCATTTCTGGAGGTGTGCAAAGAGAAAGGACTCCACTTGCCTGGAGTTTTACCTAGAGCAGAGCCAAGGTCAGGACATGGTCAAACCCCATCTCTCCCTGTACTCCCTGAGTCCAGCAGCAGGAGCTCCAGGTCAATCCTGACACCCTGAGCTTCCCCACCCAACCTGCACCAATCCAGTCCAGACCATCTCAGCAAACCCTCCTGTGCCTGGCTGTGACCTGCAGCTCAGCTCAGCGTGGTTCCAGCCCAGCCCTCACAGGCAAAGGGCCATTTCACTGCTCCAAAACTGCAAGAAAAGGTTCGTTTTTACCTACTAACCCTCTTGGCTAAGTGTGGTGGCCAGATGACCGACCCTCTATTCACTGCCATCTTTCACTGCCTCTTGAGAAAGAGGAACTGCTGCCCAGCACACTGGCACCTGCTTTCCAAACAAGTCAGGAGTCCTTTCCCCATTCCAGAGTTTGTACTTCCCTTCACTTAACAAAATCACACCCACATGGAATAACAGCACCCTCCATCCCTGGCTCATTCCTAAGCAGCTGAAAGGAGACAGTGATGACTGGGATAAACCCTTGCCCTGCATAAGCTCCTGGATGCCAGGAAGTGAGACTTGCCACTGCTGCATACTAATGAAAACCAGTGAGGATTTGGGTTTTTATTGTCAAGTGCCCAAAGAAATTTAGTGTTTAAAGATAAATTTTTAACCCAAAATCTGCAAAACAAATGTAACACTTGGAGTAGCACAGCTCTTCAGTCTGGTTCACCATCACAGTCCAAGTTTTACAATAAGTGTAATCAGAGTAACATTTAAAATATAAATCATTTCATGTGGCTCCACAGAGGAGAAGTGTCACCTGTGAAATTCCTACTTTGCCCTACAAAGGATCACCGGGAAGGTTCGCAAGGACAGTTTATTTACTCTTTTGAAGGAAGTGTTTTGTGAAGCGATCTAGTTCGTTCTCAAGGTGAATGGCTTTATTTCTGCAAAACAAAAGCAAGGGATTTGCTTCAGTGCAGGAACATCCCCAAGCAGGATCTACATCAGTGTTTCATTTCTATTCCTCTACTGAGACCCACAGCACTAAGACAACCTAAATGCAGGTTTTTAGAAGGGGTGTGGGGGGTGCCAGACATTCACTCCACCGTGGTGGTGGATGCCCAAGGCCAGGAGGCAGCAGCCCAGAGCCAGGGCAGCCTCAGAGTGAGGGAAAAGAACAGGAAACTATGGCTGAGGCTGCTTTCAAACTCCTCAAGCACCAACTGCTGGAAGTTTCTCCTCTGCAAACACCTACTACTGGCACAAGAACACCAGTACTGCACTGAGTGACTCAACACAGCACAGCTGCTCCCCTGCTCTGCCGTGGGGAGGGGGCCCCTCAGCTGCCTACAGGAGACCAAAATTCTGGAGAAAGGCCTCTCTCCCATACACTGAAGAGAGACATGGGTAAAGATGATCAAAGAGTATTATTGGAGCTTTGCTGATTCTCCAGGCAGCAGCAAACATTTATTTAACTTACCCAGAGGTGCTCAGGGTATCTCTGCACAGCCTCCTGCACCTGAGCCAGCCTAGTTCGGCTCCGGAGGAACAGCTGGCACAGATCTCTCTGGAGGCAGCAGGGCTAAGAGATACTTGTGGCCAGTCACACCCAGACTTACCTTAGCTGCTTGGAGTTGTTCTGTATGCTCTCCAGCTGATCTATTTCTTTGGAAAGCCTAGCAATTTCTTCTTCCAGGTTTTTCTGGGTAATATCTACCTGCTGACAGAGCCGAGCAAAGGTAGTGGCCATTTCCCTAAAGGGAAAACAAGTTTGTAATCATGATTTAAGGAAGTCTATGATATCAAAAAAAAATTAAGAAACATAAAACAACTCAAAAATCATGTGCCATGGGAGTGTGCAGAACACAGAAATCAAAGCCTCCATCGCTTAAGGGATTACAGAATAGCAGAAAGCAGGAGAACTGTGCATTTTTTAAATTAGAAAAAGAAACCTTAAACGTACCAAATGCACCTCAATCTACGCCAACATCGTGTCTGGCCATTTTGCATAAAGCATCTACAAGTACAAGCCTGAGATGGGGCTCTGGCTGCATTCAAAGGTGCTGGAGCAGCCCTGTGTCCCCCCACTCAGCACCCTGTGCAGGGTGGGGAGTGCCCCAGGCCTGCCCACTGAGGCCCCCCATCCTACTTGCCTCCTCAGCCACATGCTCCCAACCCCAGTTCCAAGACTCCTCCTTACACAAACAGAAAACAAACCCAGTTACCACCCTGGGCCAGCACCCAGGCTGTCCCCCAGGAGAGGAGACGCCCTCTCCCCTCTCTACTTCACCTCACTGGAGCATTGGTTTGAGTCCAGCTCTTCCATGTCCTCACAGAGACACACAGCTGCTGGACACGGGGATGAGTCTCTTTCCTCTGCTGAAGCTGAACTCTGTACTAGTAAAGTATTCCCTGAGCTACACAGGAGAGGTGTTCTGCACCCTGGGCCTTAGGTCTCATCAGCAGGCCTAATTTTCTGAAATAATAATTTAATCAAAACAAATTGTTTCAATGAAAGAGTCTGAGGGAGACAATCAGCCAGACATTACTTTGCAGAGACAGGTGGGGAAAGATTTGAGAAAAAGAACACAGAAAAAAACCCAAACAGTTCAGAAAGGCTGTCAAGTTCCTCTTCTGCAGAGCAGAAGAGCCAGCACTGGCTACTCAGAACTCACCCACCCCAACCCTTGGGGCAGAAGCTCTGCTCACCCTTACAGGGACTGTAAGGGCAGAACAATCCACTGGAGTGAACTCCCACATCTCCACCATGAGGTGCTGGACAAAGAGAGTCACCACCTGCAGAGCAGCTCGCACAGGCACACACAGGGACGCAGCTATCGGCCTTTTCAGGTGGTTCATTTTAAACCCTCTTCCAACTCCCTCATAATAAATGCCAAGGACACTAAAGGTGCCACCCCCTCCCCACAGCCCTGTGGTGACAGGCACCTGTCCCAGCTTGGGGACACCCCGTGTGACACTTACTGCTGCACCTGGTGGCTGCAGTTGGCGCTGGTGAGGCTGACGATCATCTGCAGCTTCTCGGTGGCGTAGTTCACAAACTGCTGCTTGAAGGCTCTCTCCTTGGCCCGCGTGGTCCAGGTCAGCCTCTCGTACAGGTACAACAGTCCGTACATGCTCAGGGAGAACGAGATCAGCTTCCAGCCTACAGTTTTCCAAATCTGAAAAGGAAAATCTTCATCAGCTTAAATGAACTGCCCTACGGAATTAAATCTAATTCCACCCATTTTTTTAAAAAAAATCATCTCTGTGGCCCCTTTCACTGGATTAGTTTAAGAAAATATATTGTTTCCATAACATTACTGCAGAGCAATACTGCTACATCCTCACCAGCTGGCCTCACTGGCATGGAGAATGTGCAGGTTGCAGAAGCCTTGCTGCTCTTTCATGAAGGAGGAAGCAAAGCTCCCACTAAATCCAAACTGAATGATCCGTTAAATCACCATTTAATTCAGGCACTGAACACAGACCCATGGCACACAGAACATGCCCAGCTCTCCTCAGAGTAACCAGACTGATTCTCTCACTACAAACTGGCTGTGGGTACCCAGGGCACTGCATGTGCTCATCTGACCCAGTGTCAAGTCCACGACAGGCTCTGTGCTGCACCCCAACCAGAGAGACCAGCTTGGCCTCTGCCATCCCTTCTGGCACAGGGAACGCTGCCAGAGCTACTTGCCACTCCGCCAACAACGATGATGCTCATGGAGGTCCGTGAGGTCAGCGAGGCTAAACTCAGTACCAAAGGAACCATAAAGTCATCCTGGGGCACAGTGTCTGGAGTTCCAGCGGGAAGGCTGGCGGCAGACGGGGTGGTGGCTAAAGGACGAGGGATCTAGAAGATGGGAACAGGGCAGCCTGAGTAAAAAAAGCATCCAGGAACTACACAGAGGGGTTTTGTTTTATTTTCATATATTCAGGGTTTGATCTACGGAAAGAAAACCCTTCAGCGCAGAAACCTGAACCAGACTCCTGAAGAGCAGTGGAGGCTTTGACATGTCCTTGCCCAACGGACATGGGGTTAAAATAAGGGTTTCTGTACAGGGCTGGCTCTGAGTTAAGGATCCAAAAGTTACAAAGGGAACAGGCTACCCAAAGGGTTTAATCCAAAGAAAAACAAACTCGTGTGACAGCTGCAGAAAGTTCAGGTTTTTAGTTCCATTCTAACCCTGAATATAATCCAATAAAAACAACCCTCACCAAAAATATTTCACACAAAGGGCCTAGGGGAAGGTAGAAGCAACCGTGTAAACAGCACAGGGAAAGAGCAAAAATCAATATATTCTCATCAAGGTAAAACAATGGCAGCTCAAGCTCAAAAGCACTCACTTGTAGGTTTGGATCTACTAGTCCCAAGAGTACTTTCTGAGCTTGTTTAGGACCCAAGAAACGGTTTACAAGTGAAGTCCATCCCAAAGAAAAGTGGAACATGATATCCTCTTGAAAATCTGCACACAGGCTGTGACAGTTTAGATCATAGCTAAGGTCAAACTTCCTGCATGGAATTAGCAAGTGGAGCTGATTCTGAGCACTAGAAGGCAACAATGGTTTCAGATTTTCTAGAAATAAAAACAAATAGTAAAGATGAATTAGAAGTAAAGTATATTCAAAAGCAGCATCCTTGCACTGCTGAGCAGCTTTGCCAAGAATCTGGAGCTGACCACTTCATTATTTATTTATTTGTAAAATCCATGGCCAAGATTTCAGCCGGGATGACCCTAACAGAGCAGGTAGTTTATTGCTCTGATATAAGAAAACAGCAATCAAAATCAACTCACCAAGAAAGCCCTGCAGGAAAAAGGGGCAAATTAACTGAAAGACCTCTATCAATGGTCAAAAGATAAGGACAGACTAAGAAAGAATTGATTTATCCAGTAGTTCTGTGGTGCCATACAGAAAAGGCAACATTATTGCATTGAGAGGACAGAAAGGTTCACGTAGTTTCATGATCTTGTTCTGAATCTTTATTACCAGGAACAGATCAGTAGAGAAGGATGTGAGATAAAGTTACTACTTATAAAGAAAAAAGAAAGAAAAAGAAGTGCACAAATCCTTTGTGAAATGATCTGCTTTGCATTCAGGATCTGGAGGGACCTAAGGAGAGGATTATACTGCAGAAACATTTCCTAACAATTAGTGTATTTCGTGTCTGTTGTGGAAGCCAAAAGTTTAAATGGGTTTGTAAAAGGATTAGACAAGTTGCCAGAGGACAGGTCCATTACTACTTAAGCCATTAATCCAGATGCAGCATCTCGGCTCAGAAGTCCCTGAAATGGGGAGGGATTGCTATATTTACCCTGGCTCATTGTTCTTCTCCCCCAGCATCTGTTACTGGTATCAGAGGGCACTGAGCTGAGCACTCAGTCCTGATCGACACTGGCTCTCCCTTTATCATTTATAGCATCAGTGTTAAAATAATTTTCTTTCTGTTCATGATTTAACAGCAAGTTTTCTTAGACTGTCTTCCTTTCAGTGCGAAGTGTTAACATCCCTCCTCCCTCCTCTTACCAATGATCTCCTGCTGGGACTGGTGCATTGACTGGTTGACCTCACTGGAGCAGCGGTCAGCCAGGTTCTTCCCCAAACCGTCTTCTATGTGTTTGTTCAGTTCCTGAAGTTTTAGAGGGAATACATGCTCACCAATGCGTATTTAACTCATTTAATTTATATTCAGTTACATTATACAGAGCACAGACACGTTGCACACTAAGCACCATTCCTTACAGTGGGAAGAAAAGCACGTTACCATGGAAATACCATGCTTTCCACCTGCACACGGAAAACCCAACTGGAATGACACAGGGAAGACTTCCCTAGGACTGCAATCACTAAAGGGCACAGGGAAAAGTCTGTACTTTCAATAACCTGTGCACTGGAAAGCCACTGAACCACCACCTACTGCCCTACAAAGCCTTTACAGTGTCATTTGACAGGAGCCAATTTCACCGCTCCAGCTCCTGTGGGGGCCTGCTCAGGACACGCTGCTGAGCTGGGAGCTATGGCAGCCACTCAGCAGCAGCAAAGTCTGAGCATAAGAGGCAAACAAGGCTGTACAGGCCTTAAAAAGCACTAAGTTTGAGCAGGAATTTACAGAACATGAAAAAAAATTCCAGCTTTTATTAAAAGTATCAGGTTTTTGCAAGGTCATTTTATTTTTGGACCTATTTGATTTTAGGAGTAGTGAAAATTATTTATGCTAGGTCTTTATTTACTGGAAATGAAGACTACAAATTAGGAGCCACTCTATTAAAAGGATGGTTGAAACAAAAATTAATTTCTTTCCCAACACAAAGCAGAAAAGATTTTTAACCTTTCCAGTTTGGGGTAGAGATACGAATATGTCAGAAAGCAAAAATCTTGCAATGCTTGAAGTGTCACATAAAATGCTACATACCTTATGAAAATACAAAAATAGAAATTAAGGGAAAGACAAAGAGCCTGACTTCAAACCATGCAAGAAAACTTACTGACTTATAGAGCTTCAGCACTTGAGGAGAAGGGTGAAAATCTGAATAAAATTCATCAACTAAAACTGAAAGTCGGCAAATCTCATCAGTCATGGCAGAGGAGACCTGAAAGAACACAGAAAATGCTTGAAATGTTTAAATGTTTCTCCTACCTTTTCTAGCCAGAGTGAAAACAGACTCCTGCACAAACTGTCCCAAGAAATTACTCAATTACCTGACAGGCATTTTGAGGGTTGGTTTTCTTTTTTTACATTGGCAAAGGAACATAGTGGATATTTCAAACATACTTTGTATGATAGGTGGGCTCCTAAAGGAGCTGCCTGACAGAAGAGGCAACACTTGGACCTGGGAGGTTGTTCACACTGCCCTCACTTACTTTATTTTCGACCTCCTCAGTAACACGTTTGATTTTTTCCTTCGTATCTTCCGTCAGAATGTTCAGCTGGTTTCGAACGAAGTCCAGCCTGTCCTTCTGATCCTCTCGCTCTTCCATGGAATGGACTCTAATGCAGCAGAAAGGAGATCACCATCAGCAGCAGGAATTCTCCCAGGAATGAAACAAGCCCATACCCAGCTGATGGGTACTGAGCAGCCAGAAGGAATCAGGAGTGGCCCTGGCTGGCCAAGGCAGAGGCACCGCCCCGAGGGGCTGCAAGGTGGCTGCACTGACCAAACATAACTCAAGTTTTGATGTATTTACAAAACCAGCATTTCGAGTCAAATTGTTATCACTGTACATGATTGCAACTAAAAAAAGGTGTGGGTAATCAGAGGCCTTTAACTTAGTCTATCCTGGTTTAAAAAAAAAAAGAAAAAAAAAAGGTAAATCTGATCTGCATCAGTTTGATGCAAAGCAAAGGGGACGTGGACAGAAACCAACTTCAGCACTAACAACTCTCTTCAGAATTCCTTGACCTATCAATTAAGCAAAAATTCCTGAAAATCTAGAGCAGTTCTATCTTGAAGGGCCAGCAGAAACCATAAACAGCAATTCAGGCTAAGAGGGGTCACCACAGACATTTTGGTAAGTCAATTAACAGAAAGAAGTAGAATATCAGAGCGTTTTCAAACATTTCACAGCTTGTTTTCATGGGATCTGACAATGTGAGACAAGTCAGTATGTAAACAGTTTGTAAAAGCTGACATATTTGGGAGGATGAGTGTTTGACAGCACAGTGGAGTCTGCTGAAACACAAAGACACACTATTGACAGGCAGAAAGGAGATGGATGGGAAGGATTAAATGTCATAGCAAGTTCACTGTGTGAAACAGACAAGGGGCAGCAACAAAAGTGAGGAAAAATCCCAGACTATGCAAACCTCAAAGGGATATGTGAAACTATCAGACAGAGCAGATGAGCTGCTATCATTAGCACTACAGGATTACAAGAGGAAAGAGAGAATAAAGCTATTTAAGGATACAATATGGAAAGGGCCAGAGGCCAAGACTCTGTTAGCCTGGGCTTGTCTCAACCCTTCCAGTATTGTAATCACTTGCAAATTAGTGTCCACATCCTCCCTTTAATTTTCTCAGTGTTACTGTTGACAGAAAACTTCGGATAAACAGGCCCAAACATCACCTCTGAAATGCTGGATACAGCTAGAAAAACTTAAAATTTCAAATATTTCTGAAAAAAGATTTGAAAACACAGAGATTGCAAGTCAGTAACAAAGAACAACAACGTAAATCAAGATCCCTGTACAGAAGTCAGAGACCAAGGACAAGACTGAGCAAGTGAGCAGTTGTAAGACCGACACACCAGAGAAATTTTCTGTTTCTTACCAAGCAGGAAAAGTGAATTTTAAAGTCCATAAATGGCCCAAGAAAATCACCAGCACAGAAACGGCTCCTTGGATGATCTGGACAAACCAAAGCCAACCAGCCCTCCAGCCCACCTACCTTTTCTCTGCTGCTGCCACGTTTATGGTGTCCATAATGTTTTTCACAGTATCTATTATCTGTTTAGCTCTGATAGTGTGCTGTTCAAACTTGGTTTTCACGGCTGACTGCGAGATACACTCCTGCGAGGGGCCCAAGCCACAACACATTACTGCAATTCCATGCCAACACACCCAGGAATTTCACTGTCAGAAAGCACAACGCTGCCAATTTTACCAAGAACTTAAACCAATGGGAAATAAAAAGGGAGAAATTATAGAGAAATTAAAAGACAACAGAACTGAAATCTCAAACGAGTCTACAGCAGCAAATCTGCCTTCGTGTTCATTCACAGTAATGTGCAGAGGTTTTCAATCTTTTAAAATAAATCAATAACGTAAAGAAAGAAGAAAACTGATGAATGCATGAGATAAATCTACCTCTTCAGAAAATTTTCCAAACTATCTCTTCAGAATTACAAATGTCAAACATGAATGCTGGCAATACAGCTTGGCTTGAGTTTTCTTTGTTGCAATACATGCTCTCAATTTCAAGAAGCAGTTCTGTCAATGAAATCTGACTTGCTCAGGTCAATACTGACCATCCAGGAACAAAATATATAAGCAGGGATAAGAAACAAGGGTTTTCCATGGGATAAAAAAAGATGTTAAATAGCCCTTAAAATATTAGCTTATCTGCAGATTACTGAAGTGTTAAATGAATGAGTAGAGAAAACTCTAAAGACAGAATTAATCAATCTTGAATACTGAGCAGTGATTTAGAATTACAGGACAGTGACTAAAGAGATTTACAAATGTTCAATTTGGGCAAAAACAAATCAGTTGCAATATGCCATAAATGAAGACTTCGACTCTTTTTCAAGCACCTGCACATCCTGAGTAATGGAGCCAATTAAATGTCAGAATTCAATCTGCACTAAACACCCCGAAGTAGCCACATCTTCTGTGTTTGAGGGGAACAAAGCAAGCAGCCAGTTTCCTTAATCCAGATCTATGGGACTTTTAAATCCTCAATCTGTGGATGCACCTTTCATAGCACAAACAGGTTTGAGCTGTTTTTAAAAGACTTCCCTGTGACCTTAGCATATGCTGTAATAACAGATTTAAAAATAATAAATCAAATCAAAATAAACAAAATGGGTAAAATATTCCCTGTTCCTCGACGAAGCAGATCTAGAAATCAGCAATGAAAGGCCAGAGCTTCATAAAGATCAGCACATTGTAAGAGCTAGACTGGGCACAGAGCAAAGAGTCTTCCCAACGTTAGTACGTGGTGGATAAAAGGATGACAGTCACTCACAACACAATCAGAAAATCCAAGTTAGAGCACTAGGAGAAACACAAAGGTTAGTTAAACAATGGGGAAAGCTAAGAGGAGGACAGCAGCAGTTTTGCTGTTAGTCTGTAAATAAGTATTTACTGAAGCAAAGCTAAAAGGTGTGTTTCAACAGTGTAACCAAAACCAGTTACCTTCCAGCCCACTTCCAGAACAGCAGGACAGTCATTAGGTGCACAGGTTATCCCACCCCTGAGCAGGGTTGGGGAGGCTCATTCAGGCTCTGCCATTCACTCCACCCTGCCTCCCCCCTCCACTGCTCCCCACACCGCTTCTGTCACCAGTTTTTGTAAAAACCTCAGGAAACACCACAACCTGAGGCACGGTGAGGATGGTTTTATGCAGGATATCCACTAAGGACTACTGCACACAGTGCACTGCAGAGGCACTTCTTTGCTGTTTGATAAGGTATTTCTATGTGTCTCACTGTAAAATTTCAGAAGATATCCTTTCTTTCTGTTATGTCACAATATAAAAATTCAGAATTGATCCAAGAATTCAACCCTTTAAGACTGCCTCTTTTCCTCAGCTGCAATACAGCTGACATACAAAGCAGTATTAGTTTTTAGAGCAATTATATGAATCTCTAAAATCTATCATTTCCCCACTACTTACAAGTGTTTTTAGTAATGTCTGCACCAGTTTTTCTTTCAGCAACTTTTAACACCATCTGCTTTGCAAAACACCATGTTACACCTATTTTTGGAAGGATTTTTGCCCTCACATACAAGTCTGCAAAAATGTAATTACAAACCTTTCAAAAATAGCCCAGGTTTTTTTTTCTCATATCATAACAAACTGGTCCTGGTGGGCTGTTTCTAGAGTTTGGGGTTTTTTTGAATTCTAGCTATACTGATCTCCTATCAGGCCTGGAATGAACAGGCTTTCCCATCAACTGATACTAAAATAAAGGATGTGGAAGTACTGGAGAAGTAACCATTCCTCTTCTCAGCCCATGTGGAAAAGAGGAAGAAGCTGTCCAATTTTAGTGAAGAGAAAAGCAGGGTGAGAGAATCCAGGAGGAGCAAACCCAGCAGATACAGCCCAGGGGAACACGGCACATGTGGATGGGTTTATACACGAGGTGCTGAGATTGCTCAGAGAGGGCAGCTGGACAAAAGGGTGTCAGAGATATTTGGGAAGTCTGAGCAGGGCACCTGGGCAGGGACCAGGAGCTACAGGCAGGACAGACAGACTGAGGCAGGGGAGGGGTCAGTGTCTGACGAGGACAGACAGAAGCATCTGTGCTCTCATCCCTTCCCTTCACACACTGCAGTGTAATCCAAGAGTCTTGGGACTTGCAGCTCCTCTGTCAGGAAACAGAGTAAACACAAAGTGCTTTAGGCAGAAGTGCTCAGGTTGTACCCAGGGCTGAATCTGGTCTGGCAGTGCACAAAGCAAGGTATCAGTTGGGATTTTGTTCCCAGACTGAACACAAAAAGTTCTACCTGGTGCATGATATTCTTCATTAATACATAGCCTAGAGCTGGCAAACATAACTGATGACAACAGTATGCTGCTGTCAGCTACTTTATCAGCTCCAGTGACAGTAATTTGAGTACTAGGTTTGAAGATTTCAGACCTGGTGAACCATTAAGTATCAGCCTTGCTTTAAAAGCACATAAAATGCCACTATAACTCAAGAAACTGCCCACAAAACCTGAATGTGAAAGAGGCTGCAACAGCAGACACTCAAAATATAAACTGCTTTCGCAATCTTTATATAGCACAGCTGTCATTCTCTTGAAATGGTGGGATCACACTCCTATTTAAAGCCATTCATTGTGATTTCAGGATGTAACACGACTAAACAGGGAAAAGCATTACAGAATCCACTCTCACTGTTGGAGGCAGGTGTGCAGCAAATGAAACACAGAATGTGAAACAAGAAAAAAGGTTGTTTTAAGGCTATACAGTGCTGTCACAGAATTGTTCCTTGTCCCAGCCTCTGACACAGAAACTTGTCATGGTTATGACCTTGTGACGGATGTTTCGCATTGTGGTGGCCAACCTGTGACATCTGATTTACATGTGCTGAGCACTCACAGCACCACATCATTTAGCACATCATCATTCATCTTAACATGAAAATATTCCAAGTGTTAAGTACTTAACTGTAATTATAAGAGCTTTTGTCAAAAAAGCTTTGGGTACAGCACATGGCAGAACACGATAATGAACAACAACTGATTTAGAAGTTGTATTTCCACTTTTTTCCCACTGGCTCAAAGTTTCCTACTGTAATTCTAAGGACAAAAATTACAAACAAAAATACATGTTTGACTACAGCTAGTGACACACGCAAGAAATGTCATGCCTCCTGGACTCAGGCCCTGCCAGTACTCTGAACCCATCATTTCAGCAATTCACTCATGTCTCCTAGGAACATGGATAAGGATTAAATTTAAACTTTAGTCTGACATTTTCTTGCTTATGCATGACAGAATCAAGCTACTATTTTAAAACCATTTTGATATACACATATCATTACATAACTTGGCTTTGCTAAGGTCAGATGGGTCTGCTGTAATGCAAGAAAAAATAATTTTCAGAGACAGCTTGATTTTTTAAAATACATTTATACACAAAACCACTGAGGCACGTCCAAGATGCCTCCTTATGATGGCTTTAATTAATTAGTTATTAAATTCAGCAAGTCAAATGGATCCTATCATAAAGGACTCACTCAACTGTCCAGTCAGTCCTATTTCTGCAGACACTGTAAACTCCAGCTATGAATGTGGCTAAACTGAGGGGGAGAGGTGGATTCTGTACAGCACAGAGGATGCAAAACCAGTATTAATGCTCAGAGTAACAGAGCTAAGAGGTAAATAATGGTGATATAATCAAAACTCTGACTTTAAAAGTGCAAGTAAATATTTAGATTTACGTTGGTGAAACTGAATTTCTTACTACAAAACATTCACCAGCACATGGTTGTAAGTGATACGCACCTTTTCAAGGGTATCATCTTTTTATACAGACTATACTGTTACTGAGATCTCAAACACGAGCTAAGAGTTTTGGTCCCTTCCCTCACTGAACAATACTCCTCTCCAACAACTACCTGCTGCTCAAGATGAGATGAACAGAACACTCAGAAAAGGCAAAGCTGCAGATGGTTTAAATACCTTACACTCCTCCACTTGCTAACATGGGTAATGCTCAGTAAAAATAAGCTAAGCATAAGCAAAAGGTACCACTGCAGTTAAAACCGCAGGCAGTCTAAAAAACGCATCATAAATACCTCAAATATCTGCTCAAAATGTTGAAATTCCTGGAATCTTGTTTGAAATCCTTCAGCAAGTGCTCCACCTGCAAAACATAACAGACCATAAGGGAGAGGGGACGACCTCACAGCATGGACTGCATCTTAAATACTTTTGTTTATCAGGTTTTATGGTATTTTTCTGTATTTGAGTAAAAAAGTTCCTACAAACCACCCTCTGGCATTCCTTGAGCCTTCTGTCTCCTGGCACTCAGAACTTCCTTTGCTGAAACAAAAAAGATTCGATTCCTTGCTTCTACAGGATCAATAACTTTGAGCTCGTCGACCAGGAAATTCAGACAGCGCTCCATGTGCTGCCTCCGCACCTGAGGAAAAGGTAAAAAACTCGTGAGGAAAAGGCAAAAATGGAGCTGTCAACAAAACAGAACAGTCAGGAACAGATGCTGAACCACCCCTCAGACAGCAGATGCTGCCAATCCTACTGAGGCAGCAGCTGCCTTTACTCATTTACACAGAGCTGGGTGCAACAATATTTCCTTCTACAACTGTATTTGTCAGAGATCTCAGCCCGTTACTGGGGCAAACACTTCACTCCCCATATAGAGAGAAATAACTCCCACTGCGAGCTGGCTGCTGCTGGGAGGTCTGAAGAGCACTCTGAACTGTTCACACCTAACACTGCACAGGCACAGATGTATAAACTGTACCCTCAAGCTGCATTATCACTACAGAAATAAAAGGTAATACATGGAAGATTACAAAACAAGCTTAACTGTGCAGGAAAAAGGTTCTAAAGGAGCTTCCCATTGTATTAGCTGCCTGCATAAATAGTCACTTGAACTGCAGGCTGCTTTTTGCAAGGAACAAGGAATAAGTTATTTCCATTTTCTGACCACGTAACTTAACCTTTTATTAATAAGACAAAGGTATTGTTTCCATATTAAGATGTCTTAATTAACTGTAAACCCAAATAAGAGTCCCCAGTTCACTCACATCTTCCATGTACTCTGGTTCTGAGGCAGAGGCATCCCATCTATTATTCAGGATGAAGATGTTTGGCTTCGAAAGTCGTTCGTTCACTTTATGGAAAAAATGCTTCTCCTAAGAATTAAAACACAAACAGAAAACTCCCCAGATATCCAAACCAGAGTCACACATTCTTCTGTAACAGACTCTGAAGTTAATCCAGCTTTTTAAAAGTTTATCAAAAAGAATTTAACAACATTAAACCCCACAGATATCCAACACAAAACAGGCTTTGATAGTTCAAGTCATCAAATGCCTTAAAACCACTGCCAATGCTGAAAGTCAAAGACCTTGCAAGCTTCACAAAAATGGGTACAAACACAAACAAAAAAAACTTCCAGAACAAATAGTTCAGAAAATTTTGGAAAATAAGACTTATTTTTCTATAAATCTATCACATCATTCACTGTCATATTTTTTCCTTCCTTCTTTCACTCTTACCATCTCAAACTTCATCTCTTTGATACTTCAAGCCTCCTATTAAAATTGTTTGCACTTGTGTGACACTCAAAGCATTGCTGGGAAAGAGGGGAAGGGAGAAAGAGCACACAAGATATGACTGTATCTGCCTAGTTTTTGAATAAGATGCCTGGCTAAAACAGTGAAGTCTCTCTTATTTGAACTACCAACATGTTCCTGATCACCCTGTCAAATCTGATTTTTATATCCAGAAAAAACCCCAACATTCTCTAACTGTATTCTCACATAGGCAACATCACTTAGAACTACAGAGAAGCTACATTTCCTACATGAGAATGTAAGGCTTGAGTCACAGGAAAATAGTCATTGATGAATGTCTTAATTTAAAAAAATTAAGTGTATTTAGGTCCCTTGCCTGTACCTACCACCCATCATTGCTGTTTTCACAGCCATAACGAGTAAGTCGTGATGGAGCGAATCCCCACTGAGCACAGCTGAAACACAAGAGGTCTCTGTGCTGCCATAAACTTTTCCAGGCAGCAGGACAAGCCCACATATCCTGGACACAGCACTGGAGATCCATTAGTCTCCATCAGCCAGGAGTAAGCATCTGCAAACAAGATCACTGCTGCAGAAATGAGAACTTCATCTGAGGAGAACTTATGGGGGAATATTAGAACAATCATGTTTTTGCAAAAACATCTGTGATAGTATGGCAGAATAATGCCAAGTATTCTCAACCCTGTTATGGTAAGAGGCAAAAATAAAGCCTAAGGAGGATGAGAACATAGCTGTCACATGCTTTACCTGCAGCATAAACCGTGTAGATGAAGAAATTACCATTTGCCACAATGCAAAGCAAAATACAAATGCTTTTAAGTAGTTACCTAATTGTTAAAGGCAACTTCATTTGTGTCTACCAGGCTGAAAAAACAAAAAAGAGGAAAGAGCAAGAGATCTGTTTACTGAGCCCAAACCTCAATCACAACTAAAATCTACTTCCTTTCCCTCTGACAGACATCCTGGGCACTGGTGATTTCCAGATTCAAGGCAACCAAAAACCTCAGCCTATTCACAGGATCCAAGTGCAGTGATTCACTTCCATAAAGGTCTCAGCTATTTCGGTGAGGGAACTGCTGAATATTTAAATGAGGAAGTGTAAAATCATCGCACATCATACCGTGTTCATGAGAGTTGATTCAGAGTTGGCAACCAAGACAAACACATCAGCATCCAAGCAGAACTTGTCAATCCAGCTGTCCAGTTCTGTAGTGACATCTGTGCCAGGGCTGTCCAGAACAAAAAACTCAAAGTCTTATTTACCTAGCAAAAGGAGTACTTGATTTTTATAAACTGATAAAAACAGAGTGGGATTGCCTAAGGGCCTTGTAAGAAGATACAAAGCTTTATATCTTGAGGCTGCTGCCTACATCAAGCTGAAGGTGAACACTTCAAAAGTCAATTACCCTCTAGCATTATCAGTCACTTGCTCATTACACCATCTCACTACAAATGCAACTTCTAATTAATTAGTATTAATAAGCATAATTGCCAAAGGAAGTCCATCAGAAACCTGGAGAGTCTCACAGAATTGTTTCCCTCCCTGTATCCTTTCAATTAGAAGAGACAGTGGTACATGAAAGTTTTTTCATTAATAAAGTCTTACTTTAAAGTGATATGCTGTGCAAGCTGTACATAGATTTAATAAGAAACTAAAATGAAGTTAAAACTATAGTGCTGTCAGTTTAAAAAAAAAAAAAGTGAAATATGAGCAATAAGTCATGTTTGCAACACCTAAATTATTGCTGGTTCAAATTTCCTCAATTAAGTAAAGAGATTATTTGCCCCTTCCATGTATCTGTTCTATCAGAATCCAGGATCTTTTCCTCTCCCTTCACATTTCACCTTCAGCAACCGAGACTGTGCAGATCAAATCATGCACCCCAAAAAATAATGACTAACTCCCAGTGATCTCAAAGGTACAAGATTAGACATAGGACCAAAACCACCACAACTTACTATAACACACTCTGGGTGTTATTTTGTTGGATATGAAGAAATCATACCTAAAAATTCACTCACACCTGAGTGAATTATTCTCAAATTCATTCTGTATTGATTTATGAACTAGGTATAAATTATCTAAAAGTTTTAAAATCTGTTACCAGGTTACACCTCAGTGACCAGAAATAAGGGCATCTGACACAGACAAAGCAACAGCTTTCAGAAATCTTTCAACATGCCAGTTGTAGGAAATGCCAGCCCAACACAGGGCACACACAGCTGACAGTCACAACCACGTTTTGAGGTCACCCACTACTCTGGTATGTAGACACTTATCAGAAGCTTTTAAATATGAAGTCCAGACTGCTTTACACTTCACATGATGAGTCTGAATTGTCTAAAGAGAGGAAATGGGCAAAAGGTTGTTGCTGCAACAACCCTATTCAGGCTTCCATACTGTTTGTTTTAAAGGTAAAGTATCCCCAGCCAAAAGCTAGTCCCTTATTCAGCTCAGTCACAAGACACCTGACTGTTCCAACTGCTGCAAGGCCAAAATCAGGGGGGTGATGGCAGGCACCAGTATATTCAAAAGAACAAACTACTCACTTTCAAACAAAAAAAAGCCTTTCAACAATTTTGAACCTAAACCAGTCTCTTTCCTAAACATTCTAATGGTTGATTTCTTTAAGAAATCATTCACTAAAACAGAAAACATACCTGTCCACTAAAACCAAATCATCTCTCAGCAGGGCACACTTTGACTTGGGCCAAAAGACATGGACGAGACAGCCAGCTTTCAAATCCTTATCCATGTGAAGTGCATGAGCAAGCTGATTGACAGTCTAGAAAGAGCATAAAGAGGAGACAAATATGAATATGCAGCATGAACAAGTCTGTACACCGGCCTAAATCAGTTCTCAAGCAAAGCTGGACAGGATCTCTCTGGAAAGGGGTAACAGAGTTCATACTTTGTTCTGGTGAATAGTTGAGATTTTTTTTTTTTTAAGCTCTTCAAGTCCCCAGTGTCTAAAGAACAAGTTGTGCCTTGAAACTCAGACAGGATTTTCTGAGGAGACACGAAGTGGTGTATTCTCTCCAGGGCTGGAGTGTGTGACACTAAGCATCACGGTGAACCTGCCTTGGAAGTTTAACATACCGATGCAAGCAGTTCAGTAAGACAAGCACCCTAAGTCCAAATGAGGGGCACATTCCAAATCCTTACCAAGTAACAGAACTTACTCTTACTCAACATATGCTGTGCTACCATAAAACATACATTTAGTCATTCCTCTGAAATAGCCAAGAAAAATTGTCAAGTAGTCCATTTGTTTATTCTTTCCTCCTAATTAAGAACATTAAAATGTAGAACAAGTTAGCCTTACACTTTTGTTAGACTTGAAATCCTTGCTAAAAGACAGACCCTTTGAGGAAAAAATCTTATGAAAAGCAGTGTGAATCATTCAAGAAACGTACCTTAACACTCTTCTTTTCATCTGATCCTTCTGTCATAAGATAAGCCTTATCTCCATCAGTCCCTTCGACGCTGAGGAAGCAGTTGGTTGTATGGCCAATCCCACTAGGAAGTACCTTATCCCACAGCATTGCATTAATGACTGAACTTTTCCCACTGCTTGTTCTAGAGGGATAGAAAATAAAAGCCCTTAGAGCAGAGAACAGCAACATTAAACACACCTTCGTCCTGAACTGAACAGCACAAGCTGTTGTGGGTCCAGAGCTCCAGGTCAGCACAGCACAGCTGGCCAGGAAAGAGTGGGGAGTGTGGAATTGAAGGAACTGGCTCCCAACTCCAGATTCTGCAACAACTTGAAGTTCCCAGTGAAGTTCCACTTCACATTAACCCTCCACCTCTCACCCATAAATGTCTGAGGTTTAACTATTACACAACAGCACGAAGTTGCACAGACTGTAACTCATTTTTGAGCTCCTTCTTCCAGAAAAAGTTCAGTGCTCACTGTACAAGAGTTAAATTTATTCAAAACATCAGGGGGAGACTTAAACTCTCCTCTTCCTGCTCTGAACTCCTGCCCTTTGCAAAAGCAGCTTTTATCACACACCACAGCTTGTAAATGTATTCAACTTTTAACTTTGTGAAATATCAAGGCTGAGATATAACAAATTTCTTTATTCCAGAACTTCTGAGTTTTTCTTTAAACAACTATTTTTAGTAAATTGAAGGCAAGGCCACCGTTGTACGCATTATTTCCAATACAATTATGAAATTCTTAGAACTAAAACATGAAGATTTATACTTCATAAAAACACGTAATGACATGCTTAAATGTAAGCACAGAAAAATCACACCAAAAAAATGGGGACTAACAGACCCCATTGTTACTGTTATCCCTTAAAATCATCACCCAGGTCTATCAGATTAATGACACAACCAACAAGGCATCTGTCTCTATCTCTCTTCAGCTGCTTATACACAGAAACCTGAACAGCTCAGAGTTCAGTTCCTCAGCACTTGTGATCAAACACAAACAAAACTTACCAAAGGAAAAAACCCAGAAAAATAAACAAACAAAACAAAACCCCAAACAAAACCCCAAACAAACAAACAAACAAGTCGTCCTGGAGAAGATGACAACAAACTCAGGCCTTCCCAAGTCAAATAACGGAACTAGACAGGATAATTATTTTCCAAAGTTTATCAAAGAAAACCATGTAAAAAGACACAGGTAAATAATATACAGTCAGGAAACAAGAAGGCATCAAAGAAATATTCAGCATCAATTAGGTAACACTGAACATGGTTTTACAGATTATATTTCATACAATAATTTTACAATAAAGCACTAATTTCAATTAGATATACACACAATAAGCTCTACAAGAAAAAAAAATCAAATTAAGTTCTGGTAATTTCATTACCTGCCAAAAAATGCCACTTTCATGTGTCTCCGTGAAAGCACCTCACCAATGACTGCCAACTTGTTTTTATAAGCTTGTATTTTTGCTAGTTCATCTTCTGTTGCTACATGCTCAAGCTCTGGGTTCCTGTACGTGGCTACACAAAGAAAAGAAAAACATAAAAGCAATCACATCCATGCTCTCTAGTACAGGGTACAGGTAATCAGCACTTCACATGCCAACAAAGATCAGTGTAAATTTTAATCACAGTGATAAAACAAAACAAGCAAAACCTCACTACAGAAAGTGGTATCGGCCCCTGGAATTTGATAGCTCCACCACAAGCACTTGTGAAAGTCATGACATAAATCACTTCACATCAATCACTAACCTAACTGCTGATTCAGACACGCTGTGAACACAGCCTGCTGTCCTCACTTGCCCTGCTCTTTGGGACACTTGCTTCTTTCAGAAAGGAAAGCCAGGACCCCTCACGGATACACCAGCTAAGCTGGGATGTATTATCCCTGCAAAACTCCCAGGGATGATGAGGAACCAACTCCACGTCGCCACACACACCCCTCCACGCTGCTAAAACCTCAGAGGGTGTGACCAGTGGCTCCTGGCATGACATCATGTTGATCTACTTTCCTACTGAATAATGGGAGAACCTGTTTGTCCTTCCTTCTGTGCAAAAGAAACCACAACGGGACCATACAGGTGGTTAAGCTTTCACCCTCGTGGAAAGGAGGCCAGGCTGCCGTAACTTAATCAGCTTTTCACCTGTGTAACCATGCCAGGCATCCCTGCCAGACCACGCTGAAAAGAAAAAAAAAGTGTCACATGAAAAATGAGACTACTTTTGAAGGCGCATGTTTATACTAACAGCACAGTAACAGGTAACGTAATGTACACTGTGCTGCTGTAACACACCCTCGAAGCAGAGGACAAGGCTCTGGTGTTTAAGGAGAAAGCTCACCCTCCACAAAGGCTGCCCCCTCAGTGACATAGTCCAGCAGCTGGTCGAAGATGGCAGTGATGGTCTTTTTGGCCAGCACGAAGTGCTTCAGCGGGGAGACGGAGCCTTCTGCCATGCTGCTGCTGCAAGGGAAGGTGTGCAAAAGTGACCAAAACACTCGGCACCTCCAGCTAATGAAAAGTCACACAAGGCCATTAAAAAAAAACGAACAAAACCACGGAAGCCAAAAACGCGCCAAAACCCCCATATCAAAGCCTTAAACACCAACGAAGGGCAGGACGCTCAGTTTGCGCTGTTTATGCCCATCTCCTGCCCTCATCACACGCGCCGAGAGCGGCTGGCGAAAGTTCACACCGATTCGGTGCGATCCGTCCGGGGAACACGAGACTCTCCCCTCATCAAACGCGGCTCCAGCCTCCGCACCGCCCGCGGGTCAGCGCTGTGCGGGGCAGCGAGGACGGGCCCCGGTCCCTCACGGAGCGCGGTGACACCGCTCCATCACGGAGCCCCGGCTCTCCCCGATACCTCACGGACCCCGCTGGCCTCGGCCCCTCATGGGAGCCCCGGCTCTCCCCGCTCCTTCACGGACCCCGTTCCCACGCGGAGCCCCAGCTCTCCCCGCTCCCTCACGGCCCCGGCGGTGCCCGTCTCCGCCGCCGGGACGGGCGGACGTCACGTCACTCCACTTCCCTTTCCTCCTCCTTCTCCTCCTCTGACCCGCTCCTAACCCGCCTGAGGCGCCGCCATCTTTACTGCGGGCTGAGGGCGCCGCCGCCGCCATCTTGAGGGCGGGCGGGTCGCGAAATGGAGCCGTGCAGAGCCCGGGAAACGGCGGGATAATCACCCCGGGAAACGGCGGGATAATCACCCCGGGAAAGAGCGGGATAATCAATCACCCCGGGAAAGAGCGGGATAATCAATCACCCCGGGAAAGAGCGGGATAATCACCCCGGGATCGAGTCCGCAGCACCAGGGTTTAATCACAGACAGCTTTCGAGGGTTAAGGACCCCGGGCGATTCATGCATTCGATACGGGAGCATTAGGAAATGAGAACCACAGTGAAAAAAAATCTGTGGCAATAAGCATTGTAGAGACCGCATTATTTCGGGATTACGAATTGTAAGTTCTTGCAGTAATTTTTGGGATGTAAGTTTTGTTTTGGAGCCAACAACGATTCGTATAAAAAAGTGGTTTTTTGCTCAATAACAAAAATTATCCAGGAACCTGAAACACACAGAATCAGACTTATTAAGGTAGGGAAAAAAACCCTAAAATTATGGAGTCACACATCAAGCCTAAAGGTTTAAAAGTCTGAAAGATGAAGAATCAAACGCAAATTTCTCACAAATACAAAACACTTCCCAAAGCAATCTCACGATCTTGCATAGATTCTGGTCAGAATGCTGTTCCCGACACAGCCAAATCTGCAGGTACCAGAGAACAACTGGATGTGTTACACTTATTTGTCTCGGAGGAAAATAATCAATACTGGCATACTCCTGGTCACCACAGTTCACTCCTGTCATTCCAGGGAGGAATGAGATGAACTGCCCAAGCTACAAGGTGCCAGGTCCGTGGCGGTGTCGGAGCAGCTGCTCATGTGCTCCCAGGTCACCTCGGCACAGCAATGTCAGAGCACTCACCTTCCACTTACAGCCTCACCTAAATAAAGCACCCTAAATAAACCCCTTTCCTTTGATGGCAACAACACTCTGTCCTTGGCATGCACAGCCATTCCTTTCAGCCTTCCAAGTTCTAGACAGACTCATTACCTATTTTTCCTACTATTTCATATCCTCTATGCTTTAATGTGCTGATTGTGTGGAAGCTGACGGTCTACTTATGTTCCTTTTTAAAACTTTAAAATAGGACAAGTTACTCTCTGTGCACTTACATTTACCCTCTGATAGATATTAAAAAATACTAACATCAGTCCCTCATTTAAAAAATCTGAGACGGCCTTAGATACATTTCCTATTTAGACACTGTGGTTTAGTTTGGAATGATTTTGCTTCATAACATTCCTATGGGGTATTGTTTTCGTTCCTAGTTTAGAGATTAGAAATAAACCAGCTCAAAGATAGACATGAAGCTATTAAAGAGTCAACACGCCAGTCTGCTGTATCACAGGGCTCCGTGCCAGTACAAGACACCACCTCTCCTGTTGGGGACACAATGCTGATCTACAAATACACACACTTCTTAAGCCCATTTGTTTTATTTTCGTTTGGGGTTTTTTTGGTTTTTAAATGCCTCTTTTCCACTTCTTGTCACTGTCCCCTGGAGCAGCTTCTCCACAGCTCAACTGCTGTTCCACCTGTGTGCCATCACCAGGAGCAGGGTTTCAAGGGAGCCAGCACTTCCCCTCTCAGATACATGAACAAAATTAACTTTTCATATAGAAGATAATTCTCGCTAATGTTTCGTTAACTGTATTATTGCTACCATTTTAAGCCAGCCAGGAAGAATGTGTTCAAAATAGGAAATCAGCAATTCTACCACAGATACTGTCATTCTCTGTACAAGGGACTGATAAAATACAGCAGGACACCCTCAGGTTGCCCTTTTTTAATGACAAAACAGAAGACTGAGTAGTAAATCAGCATTTCAAAGTGACAGAAATGGTCTTGCCTCCTACAACAAAAAATACACTAACTGGTTCATAGACATTCCAGAAATACTTCCCTTGAAACCAGAACTTCCATAAACTGACAACGTTCAGCCAATTTTTATCCTTACCTTTAAAAATCCAATGCATAGACTCTTGCACACCTTGAAGCTGATAACACCAAATCTCACTGACCAAGAAATGTTTTTATACATTAATTATCTCTATACAAAGCTTGCATTAGACAATCTTACATTACAAATTTACAATCAATGCAGAAAGAAATGTAAACTCCATCAGTAATTTACGGGTATTTTCACCCTGATAACTATCACAATCTAAGTGACCTCACTCTTTTTTTTTAATCTGTACAAGTATCCCCTCACAAATACAGCTACAGAGTGAACTGTAAAAATTCACTTCCAATGATTACAGTGGCAGGACAGTGCTAACTAATATAAACAAATATGTGAAATAATTTGAGTGATTAGTAAAAATTCTGTAATGTACCAGTGTTTTAAGCCAGTATATAGAAGTTAAAATGTACAGAATTAAAATAACAGTCTTCAAATTACTAGTGGTGGAAAGCTAATTATAAATACACAGCATTATAATAATAGACTACTAGAGGTTTGCTCTATTCAAAGATTGGTGACATACAAAATTTCAGTGAGAGCTAAATTACTTTTATGCAAGAAATTCACTTTGTGCATTCTCACCTGGATCACTGCAAATTCCTTTTGCAGTTACTCCTTAGAACATGATCCAATCTCCACACAAGCAATGTGTGTCTCCTCAGTGCATTAAAAGACAGGAACTGAAGGTAAATAAAGGGAATCCTGTAGTACATGTGTGGAAGAGAGGGCTGTTGGACAGAACAATGTTGGATAGAACTTAAAGTGAACAAGGAGGTTGGATATGTACCTTGAGAAAAAGAGGAGAATTTTAAAAGCTTATCAAGAGTATGAGGTGGGAAATGAAGGTTGGTATGTGAATTTGGAGATGTCCATGCCTGGGAATTTTTGGAACACCCTTATCTTTGGCCAGCTGGTGCAATTTGCTAAACACCAGTGCAATGACCTGCTGCCACAAAGGGCAACATGAGCTGGATGTGGAACTGGGATCTGTATTGTGTTACTTAGGCATGGAACTAGGTATTGGATTTGGTTTTGTACCTTTTTATCAGGAGAGTTGGTCCTGTACGCTAAACATGAAGGAGTGGGATGACCACCAGAACTGCTATCACAGCATGCAACTACTCCCACTGTCCCTCCCCCCAAAATCTGGTCCATCTCACTGTAAATGTGATTACTTCTACTGAAACCCTTAGACAAGGAAATCCACAACACCAAGTTGTTATACATGCTTTGCTGATATAAAGATGAAAGCATTAGAACTGTACAATTTCTGTTAAAACTGTATTTAATTTCAGCGACTAAAACTTAATTCCAAGTCTAACAAATTGATTACAGGGAAAGAAAGCAATCACACTGTCTCATGTATCTGAAGATGACTTAAAAGATCTTTTTCATTCCCAAACCTCATTAAACAATCAGTACATTTATGAGGCAAATCTGCTGAATGCCTGAAATCCAAATGAGTTTTAAGATCTTCAATCTGTCCTGTTGAATATTCACAGTACTGACACAAATAAATCCCTTCAGATAAATGAGAGCTCAGGTGCTTGCAATACTCCAACATACCTGAAAATCCCTTCCCACAGTCATCACAAACATGAGGGAATATTTTGGTGTGCTCAATAGCTACATGCCTGTTGACATTCGTGTGCAGCCTGCTCCTAAAGCCGCACACCTGGCACACAAAGAAGTTTTTGCACTTGTCAAAACTGATTTTGTTGATGAGGCTGTACTGCCCACGCTCCTTGTTGTGGTAGCTGTCGCTCAGCTCTATCAGCCGGCAGGCGTGTTCGTTCACCACGTGGCTGTGCAGATCCTCGGGGTCGTTGGTCTCGTGCTCGCAGAACTGGCACAGGTACTGCTCGTCACAGCTGTGCTCCTGGAAGTGCAGGTACAGCTCGCTGCTGGAGGAGAACTGCACATCACACTGCTCACACCAGTACAGGTGGTCGTTGAAGTGAGTGTCTGCTATGTGCTGACTCAGGTTCTCAAAGATCACCGTTTTGTAATTGCAGTATTTACAGATGTACGGGTCCTCCTCGTGTAGTTTGACGTGTTCGATGAGCTGCACTTTGCTGGAGAAGCTTTCTTTACAAACTTTGCAGACGTGAGTGTCTGTGCACGTCTTGTGCTTCAGGATCATGTGCTGCTTTAAATCAGAGAAGTACTTGCTGTTGAACTCACAGAGCTCACACTTGTACAAGCCGCTGCTGTTGGCTCTCAGCAGGGGCCACTTCTGTTGTGCTGTGATATTCAAAGCCTGATTCTTCTCAAAGATTTTACAGGTTTCCAAGGGGATTTCCTCCAGGTCCTCAGCCTCCAGCTTCTCAGGTGACACAGTCTGTGTTTCTATATCATGAACTTCTACAGCATTCACTTCTGTTGTAGAAATTTCTACAGTTTGGATATCTAGAGGTTTCTCTTCTTCTGTGGGGCTGTCACTGAATATAGGTGAGTCACATAAGTCTCTGCACATTCCATTGTTAGTACCTTTATCTGCAGGAGGAAATACATAATAAAAGGTTGAAAAAATCTCACTGCAAAAGACCAGGGTCTATATTTAACCTTTCAGTCGTTTACAGCTTACAAATGCAAAAAGCAGTTATTTTTTGCCCTGCCAGACTATGCTGTATGTTCAGCTAACAAAGAAATACCAGAAACTACAAATCCCTCCCATCTTCTGACAAAGCAAAGCAGTTACACTGCAAGCCAGCAGCTGTGCTCTCCCCCTTCCCAGCACCTCAGCTGCACACACACTGACCTTTACCTTTATCCTTCCTTTTAGGGTCTGCACAGTGCAGCCCCAGGTTGGAATGTGCCCCACTCCAGTGAGAACTCCCGGCATGCACCGGACTCCCATCATCATCTGTGTCCAGGCTCTGCACAGGACTGTGGAATCTGCCTGCAAAGGGAAGAGAAGGATTTTCTTGTCATAATTTGTCCATCCTGACATCGTTGTGATTCCTTGATTTAGTCATACATCTTATTTACTATTTAATTATTCTAGTTGCATAAATTTATCTTAATATACTAAGCAAATCATAACCTACATTAAAAAAAGTAATAATAAATACCTTAGAAATTATTTCCATAAATGCAGAGGAAAAAAGAATTCAAAAGGTGGCCACTCTGTCTTTAAAATTTCAGCAGAAGACAGTCAGGTGATTGTAATGGAAAAAACCCTTAAAATCCTTAAATGAAACTTTATATATTTAAGAGACACAATTAAAAAAATATTCTTAAATATTTCTGGACATCACATTTTAAAACATAATACTTTCTAAGACTTCTGGAGACTTGCTGGTAAGTTATTAGAGTGAAAAGAAAAATAAATATAATAAAAATCCACCATCGCATTTGCTCTCCTAAACTTCCCATCCACTACTGGATGTTTTATAAAAAGGCATTTTGTTTTCCACAAGTACAATTCAATGCAACTGCTGGTAAATGTCATCTGAACTCATCAGCTTTACATTACCTAGCTAGTGGATATTTGAAGTAGTTTAACCACCATTATAAGGATCTTTCTGTTGTCATTGTTTCTACTTTGAAAACTGTATTTCAATTGTAAAGATTAAACCACCTTCCACCAGTCTAAGGCCTATCAGATCACAACACTGCTCAGAAATCACCCTCTATATATTGTGTATTCTATTTACTTCTATGAACAGGAGGAGCATGACACACTTACTAAAGAATTGCAAAACAAGACTCCAAAATGTAGTCTTACCTCTGTTTGTATCTGGCTGTCTCATAGAACAGACACTGTAACAGTGGTCAGAAAAAATTCCACTGTTGTCTATGTATCTGCTTGCACCTGAAGAATCTAAACCAAACCAAACAAACCAAAAGTAAGTTTAAATACTAATACATTGATATAGCTTCAGACATATTTCATGTTCATCAAAATTCTCTTCACAGTTTTACCTGTTGTTTGGGGAGAATTCTGTGCTCACCTGACAACATTTCTGTTGTGACTCACACATTGCAGCTGCTGCCTGGATGTTTGGACTATCAGAGACAGTCACTATCAAACGCTGCTCCCACTGAGAAGTGACAGGAGCATAATCCATTCAGTGCTGAACATTTCTGGATATCCTCATCCCAAGTTTTACAAAATTCCCCCCCTGTGTGTAAGCACAATCACCTTCATTTGTAGCTTGAGCCAGTTTCCCCATTTGCAGGGAGTACAGAACAAAACTGTTCAGGTGCACTGGCACTGATCTCTGTGGTGACCAGTGACAGGACTCAAGGGAATGGCCTGAAGTTGTCCTAGGGGAGGTTTATGTTGGCTGTTAGAAAACGGTTCTCCACCCAGAGGGTGGTTGGGCACTGGAACAGGCTCCCCAGGGCAGTGGTCACAGCCCCCACGCTTGACGGAGTTCAAGGAGCGTTTGGATGACACTCTCAGGCACGTGGTGTGACTCTTGGGCTGGTCCTGTGCAGGGCTAAGAGTTGGATTCGATGGATCCTTGTGGGTCCTTTCCCACTCAGCATATTCTGCCATCCTGTGACTCAGAGTAACCCAACAAGGGAGCCCACAGAGCGGGTGCTTGGTACATTTGAGCCAAAACTTCTTATCCACCATTTGTGTCACTAATTTTCCATGTATTAGCACATGTGGTCCCTCTCATAAAGTTATTATTCTGAGAAAAAAGATAAACTTTAGTCAAGCGTACATAACTCAAGCTCTAGACTGACCTGAGTACCGAGAAGGATGTAGAGTCTTCCTTTTCCTCTTTTTAGGATGTTCATTCATTTTGAACAGTCTGAATCAACTGTAAAGTAACAACATTCAAGAATTAGACTTTTTTGTATCTAGTTTATCTTTCTGGACCTTATGGAACAACACAAGCATTTTGAAAACCTGCCTATTAAATACAAGAGTTCTTTCCTACTCCCCTTTCTTGCCTGCCAGCCTATTTTTTTACAGTTAAGAACCCATGAATTGCACACAACTGCTGAAGTCCAGTTTCACATTCCTGCCCTGGAACAAAAGAAGGTTCACCATAAAGACAGGCAGGTGGGGACTCCAGGCACCCCAGCACTCAGAGTCACCTACAAGGAAGGTCTCCAGCACCCTGCTGACATTTGTCAGGGACTGGATATTCTGAAGCAGAGCCCTTCAGAAACACATTTTAATGTTTAACATACTAACAAAGCCATGCTCTCTTACCAAATATCCGAGACTCTTTCAGTATCAGGAAGCCGAGCAGCTAAGAAGCTGATAGCTGTACAACTTCCAAAGGTAGGGAATGCATCAGCTCAAGAAGACTTTCACCTGTGGAAGAACAGCCTTTTAAACCACTTTAAAACTTGAGCACAAAAGAAAAAAACCCACAGAATTAGATATAAGTAACACAAAGAATGGACCTATGGAAATTGAAGCTAGAAAGCAACATAAGAAGTCGATATTAATTTTGGTTTAGAGCTTCAAAATGAATAAGGTAGATGTACTGGAATATTTTTCCTTTTGTATCAGGTTAGTTGTCTTTTGCTGCACTTGTCAGCTCCTGACAGCAGAAGAATACTTGGAAACGACACAAAAATACTTGAGTTATAGATGGGAACAAATAGTTTTGAAAAATAAAGGGTTGCAAACGCGGAATGCCATGTTGGTTACCGTAATACCAGAGCACTCACGGGCCCAGGATCTTCTGAAGTCAGTGCCATGCACCAGAGGGGAAAGCAGGGAGAAAAGGGCCCTCATCAAGTCAGGGCTGTTCTCACGAAACGAAACAATTTCTCTGAACTAAAATTTGTTTTATGGGATGGGGGGGGGGCGGAATTAGTGTTTTTAACATTACATCATGGTCTGAAGTACCAACACCCTCATCGCTTTCTCTGACTGCCAAGGGAAGCAGCGACAGCGCACCGACACGGCAAGTCTCACCGCAGGTAACGCCGCCGAAAAGCTCAACCTCTTCCCCACGGATGGGGCCGTGAGGTGTTCTATTCCTGAGGATCGGGATCCCGCCCCTGAGAATGGGGATCCCGGTCTCGGGAATGGGGATCCCGCTCCCCCCGGGGCCGCGGCCTGCGCGGAGGCCGCGCGGGCAACCAGGGGCGGGAGCGCGGCCGAGGCTCCGCTCCGCCCCGGCAGCGGGGAGCTCCCGCCGCGGAGGAGCCCCGGGAAGGGGCGAGGCCGCGGCCCCGCTCGGAGGGCCTGGCCCGGAGCCGCTCCGGGCCCGGCCGTGACTCACGGCGCACGGGCGGCTCCCCGGGCGCTGCCACCGGCACTCACCTGCCGCCCGCCCGTCCCGCTGTGCTGGGCTGTGCTCCGCCCGGGCCCGGCCCAGCCCAGCCCCGCCGCTCCCGCCGGTCCCTGTCCCTGTCCCGGTCCCGGTCCCGCTCCGGCCCCGCTGCTCCCGCGGCCAAGGAGCGGGAACGGGCGCGTGGCCGCCGCCCACAGCGCCCCCTGCCGGCCAAGGGCGCCGCCGCCTCAGCAACGGCGGGGGGGGGGAAGGACGGGACACACACAAAACAAACCCTTAATTTATAGTTAATTTGTATCTCCGTCTGCATCCGACACCACACCGATAATTTAGAGTTCCGTCTGACCACCTTCAGGTATTCAGATTTTATGCAAGTGAGAGTGTGATGTCGAAGCCAGAGCCTCATAAAAGCTCAAATTTGCTTTTTTGTGTAAGTGTAGATGTCCCTTAGAATTACTGTATAGGGGAATATATATTAAAAAAAAAAGGATAGGAAAATAGGGGAATCAATAGAAAGCATATTATAACTATATACAGTACAAGGAAGAGATATATACAGTGCAAGGAAGACAAGGAGCTACTCGAGAGGGTTTGGCAGAGGCACAAAGGTGATGAGGGGTCTGGAGCATCTCTGTTACTGGGAGAGACCATGGGATTTGGGCCTGTTTCACCTGAAGAAGAGAAAACTGAGAGGGGAATCTCATTAATGCACAGAAATATCTCAAAGGCCGGTGCCAAGAGGTGCCAGATTCTTTTCAGTGATGCCCAGCAACAGGACAAGGAGCAATGGCCATAAACTAAACCACAAGAAGTTCCACCTCGACATAAGGAAGAACTTCTTTGCTTTGAGGGTGTCAGAGCACTGCAACAGCTGCCCAGGGAGGTCGTGGAGTCTCCTCTCTGGAGACATTCCAAACCCACCTGGGTACATTCCTGTGTCACCTGCGCCAGGTGGCCCCGCCTTGGCAGGGGGTTGGATGTGATGATCTCCAGAGGTCCCTTCCAACCCTAAAGATTCTGTGATTCTGTCATATATATATACAAAACGGTTTGAAAATTAAAACAGGCAACTCTCCCCTTCTCCCAAATTATAATCACAAAGGAATCTCCCCTTTTGCTCACTTCGTCTTCACTTTTTGTCGTGCCACGGAAAAAGGCACCAAGTTGGATTTGTCCACAAAGCAGAACACTTCAAACAGCATCTTATTGTTTTGAAAAATTACTCATTTATGTTGAAGACAGAAGGGAGGCCATTGCAGTCACTTATTTCCATGACTTAAAACAGCTTATGGAATTTTGCCAGGTATTTCATTCACTGAGTTATTCTGCTCTGGCTTAGCCTGAGTTTACCTAATTTTAAGAACAAGCTTTCAATTAGCAGAGAATCCACAAAATCCCTAATGGTGTTGTTCCACTGATTAGTGAAAATAAATTATACCCTGCTTCTGGCCTCAGTTTTATTCATTAGCTGGCAGGTGAGACTGGACTTAATCTGTCTATAGCCTTTGTTCTGAAGCTGGAAACATGACTTTAGGGTGATTTGCTTAGAGCCACATGGAAAGAGCTTCATCCTCTGATCACACAGGAGTTCTGGTGTAAGCAGCACGAACAGAACTAAAGGTGTCCCTCTGCTGGCACACTGCTGAGCCCTCAGAAATTAAATAAATGTGGGGTATCTATGATCTTAGCTGAGTTACCAATCGAACAAGATCCTGGCATCCCAGTTCAGTTTGTTCTCTGCTGTTTATTCCAGGTTGCTGAGGTTTCTCCAGGACAGCTTGTTTTAAAGCTCTCATAAATTGGCTATAGCCACCCAAATGGGTGGATGCCCACATACTTCTCCCTCTATTCACCAAAACGTTTTCCATATAAATATTCCAAAAAAGCACTTTCTGCAGTTCCCAGCGGAGGGCAGTGATGAGAACTTAAAATCCATACTTTGCCAAGGGGAAGGAAAGGAAAGAAAAAAAAAAAAAAACCAAACCCAAGCCCAACACAATTGCTTTGAATTCAGTCCTGCTTGGTGAGGCAAACTCTGATGAACCAGAGCACAACTCATCTTCTGTACTTTTGACTGATTTCTTCTCCACCCAAAGCAGCACAGCCCAACACCACTTATGCCAGATAAAAAGGCTTTCAGTGAAAGAAAAACATCTGAGGAGGATCCCCTTTGAAGCTTCAGATCCAGTTCAAAGTCACAGGCATCAAACAGAGCTATCAATGCTTAGGACAGAAAAGTCTAAATGAGTCTTATTTTCTAAACCACCAAGTGCTTGGGATGTTCAGGCAGCTCTGGGCCAGGTTTTAATCACTCAGAACCAATTCCAACTCGAAATGCAGAAAAGTCCATGTGATATTCACATCTTTGTTTAAATGGGCAACACAGATGATGCTTATTTCAATTAGCAGGGATGTATCTTCTCCAAAATAAGAATGGAGTAAACCCTTTCTTCAGTGAAAGCAGGAAACATAGTGCATGATGATAACCTTTGCTAGAGGTAGATTTTTTTAGTGCTTAAAAGGACATATAGGAGGTTACCTGAGGTATCTTGTATAGCATCAGGTTTCTTGCTCTTTTGTTACATGGTTTCAGATTTTGGATCAATTTGAAAAGGCAGGTTGGAAACCAGACTGATTTCTGAGGGTGAAATCAGGAGGGCTCACTGAGATTGCCATGCTAAAGCAAACTGCCCAGACTGCAAAACTTTCTTCTGTTTCACTAGCATTATTTTGCAGCTTTTCCATAATTTTTTTCATGTTTTAGGTGTCCAGACCTAGAACTACAACTACCACCAAAAAAAAAAAAAAAGAAATCACAGCACGGTAATGGCAGCAAAGTCTAAAATTCACATTTGAACAAGAACTGATGATCCCCTTTCCCTGAATCATCCTGTGCATTTAACACACAGTAGTAACCACTCATAACCATTTCATAGTTACCAGGAAAGGTAAAACTCACCTTATGCTGTAATAAACACAAGGTTTAACCTGCTAGTCCATGTTACTGAAGCAGCTACTTCCAAACCCCTAGCCATAGTTGGATTTGCTCTCTCCTTACTAGAGCTCAGCTGGAGCTTCAAAATAAACATAAGGATGATGATGCCCACCTTTTATTATGGAGTTGCTCCAGTGCAAAACTTGTGTTATCTGGAACAGAACTGACCAGTGTACAAAGTTTAAAGCTTACTGGGGACAACAATGTGTTGAAGAGGCCTGAGTAAAAACCCTGACCTTTCCCTCATCCCTCCAAAAAAAGTGAAATCCTCGTCAAGAGAGCTCAAATCCCTCCCACAACAATGGTTTGTTGGCAACTGAAGTCCCAAGTAGACCAACACATCCACAGAAGTGCCTCCATTGCACCCTCATGCTCTTATATTTGCCAGTGAGTAATTTCCCTAAACATGTTTCTCACTCTTTCAAAGTTAGTACTGGATACAAAAATACAACATTGCTTGGTTGTTTGTTTAAAAGCCTAATTTTGATAATGAAAACATGAAGGATATTAAAAAAGAAACCAAACCAGATTGATTTAGCAGGGGCTTTAAAAGCATCCAGCTGAAACACTTCAGTAATATCTGCTCTCTTATCACAACTTTTTACAGCCCACATCTAAAACTAGAATAAAATTACTTATTTTGAGGATCAGCGTGTGCAGGAACAAATGCCCTGTGCAATCTGGGACTTCCCACCTGCAAATAATGCAAATTCTGCTTCTGTTCCCCATCGTCATTAACTGATGTGTGCAACTCCCATCTACTTTCTTCCAGCCTTTTTCAAAGGCAGAGCTGCAACACCCAATCACACCCCAAGGCAGAAGATTCCTTAAATTCTCACTTCAGAATTCACAAGTGTACCAACCATATCATTTTAATTTAATTGTTAGTATATACATTAACACTCAAAAGTGTGATAAAAACCAAACAAAAGTAGTTTTTTTTTTAATAAACAGCATGATACAGACCGCGAAGATAAATAAAAGGCAGACTTTTTACAGTTTCCCATGAACATAACTACAATAAGTATCATAGGCCAAACTTTTGTTACTTGAGTAGCACAGCAGAAGGGGTAAAAAAGGGTTTGTGGTTTGTTTTTTTTTTTATTTAAAGTACTGCAAGACTATTCTCAGTATGACAACACATGCATCTTTGCTGCATCTTAAATACTTTTTGGCCCATTATTACTAAAAATGTCTTGCTTTCTACCTACTTTACCACAGACCTTCATCACAGAATGACACACACATGGCAACACCCCCCCCCCCCTCCCCCCACCCCCAGTAGTGGTTATTTCAAAGGTAATTGTCTCATTTTTAAAAGATATTTCGAGCACTGGGAGGTGTTTATACTCTCCTTTTGATGCAGACACGTAACTGGCTGCCAGCTGCAACGAAGTTACGTAGAAGCATCAAGAGGTGACACCCTCCTGGGCTCTATTTACCCAAAATGCCAACAGGATCCTGGGCTGCCTTTGGCAGAGCAGGTCCAGGGAGTTGAGCCTTCATCCTGCCCCTCTGCTCAGCACTGGTGAGGCCACACCTCGAGTACTGGGGTCCCCAGTACCAGCCTGACATGGATGTGCTGGAATGGGTCAGTGAAGGGCTACAAAGATGACGGATGGGAAATGAGGCTGAGAGAGCTGGGATTGTTTATCCCGGTCAAAGGGAAAGCTCAGGGGGCATCTTGTCAATGTACACAAATACTTGATGGAGAGGAGTAAAGACAGGCAAGGCTCTTCTCAGTGCTGCCCACTGAAAGGGCAGCAGGCAGCGAAACAGAAGATATTTCATAACAACAATAAGGGAAAAAAATTGACTGCGGATTCTTCTTTCTTGGATAGGCTCTAAACCCAACTGGGTGATATCCTGGGCAATCTGCTCTAGAGTTGACCCCGCCTCAAACAGGGTGGCTGGGGTAAATTATCTCCAAAGCTCTTTGCCAACCTCAACGATTCCGTGAAAATTCCACAGTTGTGGTTTGCAATGACAACAATACTTCCAAAATTTCAGGCCTGAGAATTCAGGACATCAGACTGCAGCCATAGATTTTTTAAATCCTTTTCTCCACCAGGGAAGTAGATTTTGATAAGTGAATGTAGATATTCACAGATAAAACCTGAAGAGGTGTGAGGGGGCAAGGAGAACGGATGATACTCCCAGATGATGAATTACACATTTATCTTCACAAGAGAAGATGAAGAATTTGGACCACAGCCACTGTAAGACAAGAGGATTAATCTATTCCTTTTCTTTCCCCAGCCCCAAATGAAACAGTAAGACAACTTTGGACAGCCTGGGGCAGTTGATAATTCAGGATATAGAACACTATTAATAGAGCCTGAAAATAGATTAAAAGTAGTTAAAGAGACAAGGCAGAATGAGATTGCAACTATTGGGAATCTGGCAACAGAATTTCAGAAAGAATCAAGACAGAATAGCATATTTTTTGCCTTCCTTATGCCAAAGGAATATTGCATCACGTACAGAAGTGACAGTAAGGACACTTAAGACACACTTAGGCAAACCAGTGGGGACACCAGCTTCCAAGTACAGGCAGGGCATTGCTTCAACTGATCTCTTACAAACATTGTATGATGTTCTTATGCTATGGGCGTGTCCTTTTTTAGGGGAAAGGGGTGTTGGAGAATGAAGGGAAGAGACAGAGGGATTCACCTCTGGCTTAGAGTCAGGAATGCTCACAATAAGACCTCAAGCTTTTCAGTCTATCCCATAAGGCTCAGAAGTCAAGAATACCCTGCTGACAATTAAGAACAATGATTTTTCCTGAGTGTGGGTTCAACAAGTCTGTAGGATATGAAAGAGTAGGAAGATGAAACATTTGAACTGGTAAGCAACAAAAATCCTGGAAGTCTCAAGAATGAAACAAACTATAGACAAGGTTACAGTAGTTTTGGAGGGGAAAGGCTACTTGATAGAGGCTATTTAAAAAGTAAAATTGTAAAGTGTTTAACTGGGCTGCTAGTAAACATTCCTCTCCTTATGAGAACACCTTTCATACTGAATCCTAAGAATAACTAATCTGGAACTCTAATATACATGTAGTCTAATTCTGACTTCATATGCTGTTGTGAATCCAGAGCGATTCCGATGAAGTCAATGTGGTATCAGCATTAAAGGGAAATTTCTCAGAATTTCTCAAAGAGCAGAGCACCTATAGGTTTGGTCAGCGAATGCAGGTAAAGAACTTCTATAGCCAGTTTCCAGATGGCTTCTCTTCATTAACACAGATGTAAAAAAATAAAACTAAACAGAAAAAAACACCCAAAGCAACACCAGCTGCAGGGGTGGTGAGCTACACATCATTTTGGACAGATAGAGCCTCACCTAAACTGAGACAACTTTTAGCACAAAATAAAAAGATGATACAAATTCATTATTTGTATGAAACATGTATTGCAAAATTAAATTGGGATTCAACAATCTGCAACAACATCCACAGCTATATAGTATTTAAAAAAAAAAACAAAACAAGTGTGGTTCTTCCATTCAAGTAAAACTAAAACAAGAGGAAAAGATTTAAAAAAGAAAATCTCAGAAGCAGCAAGTTACAATTCTTTCTGTAATACCACACCATTTTCATTAACTTGAAGCATTTTCAAGATGTCAATGACATCAACAAAATAGTAATTTCAAGTGGCTTTTCTAATATTTGTTTTTTGAATGGGTCCAGCCCAAGTCTGCAACCTGTGCAGACATGCAAAACAGGAGGAATTCATAATTACTACTGAGAACAGACGCTGGAACATGTCAATTATATAATGACAAAGCAAAGAAAATACCTTCAAATTGTCGACAAATGTGGGCTACTGATCACTGAAGGGCATTTAATATTTTACATAAAAAGGAAAGTTGGCATAAAACCCCACCAACAACTTGCCAAACCACCACCAGCAGGGTCATCACATACAAAGTTCTTACAAACTTGGTAATTTCTACATTGTCCTTAATATGCAGGCTCATATCTTCTCCACGAGATGCCAAAACACTTACAATTTTGGTTTTATTTAAATGCCTTTTTTTAAAATTTTAAAACTTATACTGAAAATGTTTCACCTATGAAAAAAACTACTAATGCACCCTTTCAGAACAGAGAAGTATGCGTACATAAAGTCAGTACAGGTTCTTTTTCTGCTACCTTTAAGAAAGCAAAGAATGTTACTCTAAGTAAAACTGAGCAGCAGCAGCCTGTTCTGTCATTAAGTCAAATGCAGTTTCACAGTTGAAAAAGTTACTCGCTTTAAATTTGTGTTTCGATAAAACTCCATTTCCTAATTGCTTTGTGACAAAACACATGGCCCAGTCCTGGGCTCCTTGCTCTGCCAGTCTTACAGTGAAGCTCTGCACAAGCAAGGTGTTCAGATTCAATTCAATCTCAAAACAAATCACTTTAGTGTTCTGTGCAGCTGATTTCCAGAACAAAGGGAACATTTTCAAATCTCCATGAGGTGGGAATAGATAAAAAAAAAGGCCAAATTCCAAGCTATCTCTGTAAAAATCTAGAACTCAGTGGCAGGTGCTTTCATGGTCTGTAAGCAGATCTTATTTCTGCTACTGTGAGCAGATGAGGTCCTCTCATTTACAGCAGAGTAAGCAAACAGAACATCCACTATCTGCAGTGAAATTACATCAGCACAGAACAGGCGTAACAGGATACAGTAATTAGGGCTGAACACTTTGAGAAAAGGATTTGTTTTTTTCCTGAAACACCAGCATAATATTTTTCAAATGCCCATCCTGGTTATGGTAAGAACTGCTTAAAGCCCATGAGTTTCCCTTACTTTTTAAAAAACTTCTATCTAAATTTTTTTGTAATTATCCTGAATTGTATTATGTCTGCATCCCTATGAAGTTTCCGTTCTTTCACTATTTGATTCTCATAATAACTTCTACAGCTTAAGCACAACGTTTAATTGCAGTAACTTCTGGAAACAGAGCCTGACTCCTCATACCTCTGTCTGGGCAAAAAGGGTGCAGAACACTGTGTGCTTGAACTGAAAGACACTTATATTTACAGAAGTAAAGGGCTAGGAAGGGGCAAAGTAAAAAGAAAGTTGGGCTCATAACGTCCAATAAATTTGAGCTGATCTTTTCATCCAGGCTGGAAAAAGCTGACCATCTCTTAGATAAACGAGGTAAAGCATTGTTTCAACACCAGATAAATAAGGATAATATAGCACCTAATGTGACGTCTGTGCAACAGGTTTACTCAGTTAAAATAAGAGAGACAGCCAACAGGGTTTCAGATTTTGTGAACTAAACTTTAACTGAAACTAAACCATGTTTTAAGAGCTAAACCATTAGTGTGTGTTGACTGCAAAGTAATAGATACAAGGGTAACTTTGCTCTAGAAAGTACAACCAAGGTTAGCAGGAGTTAAAATATTCATATGAACAAAAAGGAATATGTAACAGTCAATAAAAAGAGTAATGGGAAGTCTATTGGACTACTCCAAAATATTTAGTAGAACTAAGGAAATACAACTTCACATTTCCCATACTATTCTCGGAGCTTCTGTAGTGTTCACAAACCCAGGTTTTCCCCCACAACATCAAGAGTCCTTGTGTGCAGTAATCAGCTGCAGGATCCTGACTGTGAAATTGTCCTGAAACACCACAGCCTTGGCTTTACAATCCCCAAAGTCTTTCATAATGTAATTGATTGCACCTTTTTAATATATTACAATTTGCCTAATGAAGCCAACCACTCATTACCTCATCAGTACAGCCTGCACAAAGTACAGTCTATTATATACTTATATTCTAATCTAACACCAACTGTCAGCATATTTTATATTACACGTGGTATTGCACTTTCTGAGTGGCACCTCGGTGCGTGTTTGCAAGTGAACGAGCTGAACCACCGAAAGCCCCCAAACCTTTGGAATTCGCTCCAAGTGCTGCCGATCTAGCAAGTTTAAAATGTTAGGGTGAACATCACCCACAGAATTATGAGCTTCACTAATTAGAAGAACCCCTTTAATAATGAGAAAAACAGTCCTATCTGAAGTTGTGCATAAGGGCAATCTGAAATCCTCGGTACTCTGAACAGTTTCAAAAAGTGGTGCCAATTTCATTAATTGCACACATTGTAATTGTGTTAAAGGACAACAACTAGATTTACAAATATATATTACACACAGGCACAAAACAGACAAAGCTATAAAATGTTTGGTAACTCCACATGCTTTGAGCTAGCCAACATATCTGCTGCATGTTGAACTGCTTATTATTGATCATATTGAAAATCTAAATTGCTGTTTCTGATGTATCTTACTGGATTCAACAACCACTTCCAAAGGAGGAAGAAAGAGGAGAAATGGTAGACCCAAAAATGGAGGGTTTAAATGTACTTTCTTTGAATAGCCAGCATATCACTTCCATAATATGAAGAGTGATTCCCCAAATTTTTTAACAGACTTAGGCCAAGTTTACCTCTGGCATTAGTGGGTGTATCCCCCACTGCTTCACTGGTACTTGTGTCCTCTTTCACTAGGGCTGAATTTGGTCTGAGGAGTATATCTGGTAACCTTAAGTGACATTAATGAAAACAGGAGTCTTGGACAGATAAGAACTAACTGGGCTGCAAAATTAAAAGAGTGAATATGGGACAAATCATGTAAATAAAGAATATATATTAATAATAGTTCCTATTACATAAATAGCCTTTATAAAAAAATAATCTTTCAATAATTTTAATAACTCACCTTTCTTTAGGTTCTGGAAAACATGTATGAAAAAAATCTATTCAGTTCAAGTTAGATTAAAGCAAACCTAAGATGAACACTACAGCTCTCTGTTGCACTAAACCCAATTCTGACCATTCAATTTCCTGGTTAGTCAGTTTTTGGGGATGATAGGGAGTTTCTTTGTGAAGGTATGAATTGCACCCCTAGAAATACTGAGCAGAAGAAACACCATACTGAGTGGGCCTATTTCCTACTGCTTTCAGAAACTGTGCAGATGACGGACCCAGAAATCAAAGGGTCACCTGAACCCCGCAAATGTTAATGCCTCTGAGCACATTTAAAAGGCACTGTCCTCTCACTATTGTTTTTAGATCGTTGAGCTTGAAACTCCTTCTCTTCAAACTATGCTGCATTTAAGTATTTGCTACCACTTGAATTCTATTTCCACTCTTCTCGATCCAGCATAGTCTCTACCATGCTGTACCAGATCTAAAATAATAACTCATAGGACTCTTATGTTCATGTTAGAACTATTTTCTTTTTCCGTCTAATTCATCCTGTCAAATGAAAAAAGGAAACATTCTTCCAAGTTTACCTTTTTGGGCTTAAGGCATAACATGAATCATAGAATCATACAATATGCTGAGTTGGAAGGGACCCACAAGGATCATCAATTCCAACTCCTAGCTCTGCACAGGGCACTCCAAGAGTCACACCATGTGCCTGAGAATGTTGTCCAAATGCTTCTTGAACTCTGTCAGGCTTGGTGCTGAGACCACTTCCCTGGGTAGCCTGTTCCAGTGCCCATCCACTCCTTGTGTGAAAAACCTTTTCCCGATATCCAACCTAAACCTCCCCTGACTCAGCTTCATGCCATTTCCTCGAGTCCTGTCACTGGTCACCACAGAACAGAGATCAGTGTCTGTTCCTCTCCCCATCATGAGGAAGCTGTAACTGCAATGAGGTCTCCCCTAAGCCTCCTCTTCTCCAGGCTGAACAAACCAAGTGACTTCAGCTGCTCCTCACACAGCTTCCCCTCCAGACCCTTTACCATCTTCATGGCCCTCCTTTGGAAGCTCTCTAACAGCTTAATGTCTTTTTTTAATACTGTAGTGCCCCAAACTGCACACAGAACTCAAGGTGAGGCCGCCCCAGTGCAGAGCAGAGCAGGACAATCCACTCCCACAGCCGGATGGCGATGCTTTGCTTGATGCCTCCCAGGACACGGCTGGCCCTCCTGGCTGCCAGGGCACTGCTAACTCACATCCAACTTGCCATCGACCAGGACCCTCAGGTCCCTTTCCACAGCTGCTCTCCAGCCTCATTTCCCAGTCTTTACACACAGCCAGGGTTGCCCCATCCCAGGTGCAGAATCTGGCACTTGCCCTTGTTAAACTTCACACGGTGATCGCCCACCTCTCTAATTTGTCGAGGTCTCTCTGCATACATCATACTAAAGCTTAATTTTTGAAGTGTACAATTTTAGTGCTATCTGAAACCCTGTTTTACATTATTTTCCGACAGTTGTCTGAACAATTAATCTCTTTTCTTGGCATAAATTCTAGTGTTGTTCATGGTTTGTGCAATTCCTATGCAACCAGTCTTTGCTGCTAACGGGTATTAACAGTGCAGTACCCACAAAGCGGGGTATCAGTTCTCGTTTTCTCTGCTGTCTGTTCAGTTCAAAGCATGTTGCTTTATTGTGTGGAAGATCCAGTCCATTTTTGTTGTCCAGCCACCATGGTGAGCATCATTCATCTGCTTCATGAAGTACTCCAGAGCCTCCTGCTCAGTTTTGTCCAATGCAAGGGTCTTTCGAATGTAAGCAATGTCATCAAAGGACTGCAGTTCTGGCATTCCTGAGCCAAGCATCATGGAGAAAAGGTTGATGAAGAGATTGGCATGCTGCCGAATTGCTAGGTAAGCTTTATAGCACATCTCCTGAAACCTGGAAGAGACCAGGGAAAAAAAACTCAGTGTATTTCCCTACGAGGTGCATGTTAACTTCTTCACCTCCAAAACAGTTTTCAGGTAACCAGACCTCCTCTTCCTACTAAGTTTATCTTCATCTGTGTAAGAATTAGTAGTGGTCAGACTGACACAACAGCCAAACTGAAGCCAGGCTTTCTAGCCTTAAACCCCATAAACAATTCACGCAACTGCTCAGCACAGATTTATGGGAGTTCACAGAGCCATTCTAACCATTCCTACTAACATTTCAGATTTCAAAACATGTTTCCACATACACAGCTGCAAACAGTGCTTTCCTGGTTATCATCAGAAATGCATTTCTCCTGTAGTTTTATGAGGGCAGTAGCTGTTGGTCCTTAGATACTCTGAAGAATACACTGAAAACAGGGGCATTTGCCGTATAACATTGGATGAGAAATGCACATTTATGCTGAAATCATTAACTTAAGTCAGGTTAAAGGGAAAAAATGCAAAAAAGGCTTCACTGCAGCATTCAGACAGACACTGTAATTCAAAATCTGTCTTCCCCTGCCCTCAACATAATGATACAAAGATTAAAATTGAAACCTCTCAAAGACTGGATTGCTGGAAAGAGATTAAGAATGAATATAGCAACTGTTATTATTATTATTATTATTATTATTATTATTTTATTCCTTTCTCAGCAGGTCATAAACTACTACACAGGCCATCTGAAGAGCTGGTATCACAGCAGCTTTAGGAGGGAGAAGTACGGCTGAGTGACCAGCAAGGCCCTGATGCACGTAACACCCACCATTTAAGAACTCTCAGTACTTGCAGTTTTGCAAGTATCCCAAGAGGATTTTAAATGTTAAGTCAAAGAAATTTCAGATGTTTAAAAAATTATCATCTTTAATCACATGTATGCTGACCCTGCAAATCTCAGTGAGATTTCATGGACCAAAGGTCATGTAAGTGCTAAGATTAACTATTGATTTACAAGGGGGTGGATGATCTTCAACTAAAGAATTAGAACATTCCCACTGCAAGCCAATTAAAATACTACTTTTCAGTTATAAGGTCTAATTATTAAATGTCACCACAGAAAAGTGCATTTTAGGTACAAAATGCTCTGGAGTTTAAATGCTTAAAAGAAGGCTCACCTTTCAAACTCCCTTGTTTTGGTACATTCTTGGGCTCCTTTACTAATCACTATTAGGAAGTCTTGTGTTAAGACAAATGGCACACGCTCTCTTTTATAACCAAATTTCTTCTTCTTGTGATCGAGGAAGTGCCCAAAGTCAATGTGAAACAGCTTGGAAAGACAGAAAAGTATTTTAAGATTAGTAATTCCTTGTTTAAATGAAGTCACAGTCAAAACAATCATTTACTTAAAGTTCTGATAGGTTGGGTTTTTTTGGAAAACAAACTCATATCAAAGTGAGGATGACCTTAAGGTATGGTTTTAGAAAAACATATCTTACTTGTCCATCATCTTTGACCATGATGTTACTGTTGTGGCGATCACCAATGCCCAGGATAAAGGTGGCAACACAGTAGCCGGCACAAGAACGTGTAAACAAGTCAATAGCTGCATCATACCTATCCAAAACAGAAAAGAGGGCACTTTCCTCAGGTATTTTAGCAACACAGAAGTGCAAATTTTCCTTTCTCATTAAAAGAGCTACAAGCAGGAATGCCGGGGAAACAAGGGCAGGTATAAAAGAAAACAGAACCAAAACCAGACAGACATAATTACAGACACGATTTCCCACTTGATGAACTTTAGTTCTCTTGAAATTTCCATCAAAAACAAGCACATGGGCAAGAAAAACAGGCAACAGGGAATCTCACATGTCTCCTTTGTTCTTGTCCTTGAGCCACTGGTGCAATGTATGGCTGTTGAACTGTAGTGCTCCTTTTAAGCCTCCTTTACACTGAATCTGCATGATCGTGTGAGAGCTCCTCACGACCTCGATGAGTCCCACACAGTCACCAATTGACAAACAGCCATAGGGCAACATCCTGAAAGACAAAGGTTAGTTCTTTGTTGTTTTCTTGGGGTTTTTTTGCCTTTATAGATAATGGTAGCAAGAGATGGGAGAGGATGTATTTTTGCAGATTTCTGTATCTGGCTACTCTTTAAGCCACAGGTAAGTGTAATTCTGCAAACCACTCTTGGACAAGGCCATAATTCTGTCACTCCTTACAGTACTGGAGGCAAAACTGTGACCCAAGAGAGATGATGTAGACCAATAGGTCCTTTTGTCTAGATAAGGAAATTAAAACTGGGGGTTTCTTGACAGCGCAGTGACAGCTGTTACACCTCCACCTAAAAATCCACCACACAGCAAACACAAATTTGGAAGTGTAACCTGTCTAGCATCAGATTTCCAGAAGCAGAATAGTTCATACTGGATGCCCTGCAGAAGCTGCCGTACTCACAGGCTGTGTAGACATGGAGAAGCTGCACCCAGATCACACTGGGGGTACTGAAATGACAACTCCAATTACAAAAAATCACCGCTCAAAAGGGCTGTGGGTTTGGCAACTTGTTCAAAGCCAAATCTACATCAGTTGACCACAGTGTGGCTACTGAGCATTAGCCCTTGTATCCATCCCTGGTAGGTAAATCACTCATACCCACTTGAATAAGACTTGAGGATTTTTCAAATACGATCCTAGGTTTAGAAAATTCAGTAGTTTAGTTAACCGAAGGTTATTAAAAAAATCAAATATTGCTCTAAAATGTACAAACATGCCTATTTATAGCATTTCATTTACTGCCCTTGGGAAAACAGGAGCAATCTCGGGGAAGAAAAACAATGCAAAATCCATTAAGAACAGTATTGCTTGGAAATGACTTGCAATGCTTACCGAAGGTCAAGACCCTGATTTTGCCAGATGTTTTCCATAATTCTAATTATCTGAAGTGTCAGCATGTCCTGACGCAAGTCTGAAATAGTCAAAGATTGCAAATTTTGTAACACCAGAATACTTGGTTAGATCTTACTTTACTTTTCCCCCCCAAAAGTATGTCTAAATACGTCTAAAGGTAACAAGGTTTGCACAGGGCTTGTTCCCTCAATAGAGAAAAGTGTTTTTCAAATAGTCAAAAATCAATATAAACTTGTGGTGGTGATTTTAAAAATATACACTAAAACCATGAATTGTTTTATTCCAAAATGGAAGTACAGATTACACAACCTGTAGTATCTTGAAATCGTTTTCATGTAAAAAGAACAAATATTAAATAGTATCATGTTCCACCTCGACAGGCTGACTAACTTAGAACATAGAAAATTTGTACTTGACTGAGATCAATACTTATTTACCCATGCTTAATTTTTCTAGAAAAAAAAGACTAATTTTTAAAATTATTTTTTGTATGTATGTATTTTATATTCTTAGAAAAACCACTAAACAATAGGTTAGGAAAATAAACAGGTATGTAGCTTTTGAATTATATTTATTTTTGCTTACCATCTCCATTTTTAAATATTATCTCATTGTTCTGAAATAACAATTCAGACATAATATCTGGGTTTTCCCAGTTCAACCACAGTGGCCTTTTTGCAGATGACATTATCCTGCACTCGTCCAGCCTAAAAGAGATAAGATATCTATGAGATAGGCATAATTTGATTCTCATACCAAACTTCTGTAATACTGTATGATTCTGTTACCCCTGTTTTGGGCAATATCTGAACAAGTACCAAATTAAAGATGCAGAGGTAACCGACAATCCATGAATTTTACTTTCAGACCCAGACTTAAATTAGTAAGTGCAATGTTAACCATTTGCTAAGACCTGGCTGTATTGTAAATATTCCTTTAACAGTGTGTGGTCTTTAACAGTGTGAGGTCCTTACAACTGGAAAAAGGACTGCAGTTCCCATCACCTTAAAGGAACAGCTAAGGGTCATGTTGTTCCCTAATTTGTTACACCATTAGATTGAAATGACTGTACTGTTTATGCACTACTCTGTTACAGATTTTATTCAGTGAATTTTGAAGATACTAACATTTCATATGTTAACACTTAACCTCAACACTGCCAGTGGTACCATGGCTAAACATTTCCTTAAATAGCCAGACAAACTTCAGAACTGAATACGATACCGAAGATTTCCCAGCTGATGCGCAGGGTTGAGAGGAGAGATAAAACCTTGCAAAGCATCCATGAAGTCTGGCCGTCTCATCTGTTCAACCAGGAACTTCATCTGTACCTGATAAATAATCACATTTCACAAACTGAAACCTTTAACTTTAGTTCTGGTGCCTGAAGAGGTAGACAATGGCATTGCACAGAAAATATTACAGCTCCTAGGATAAATCTGAATCTACTGAAGTTGGCATTAACACTTCCCTAGTTAATCACACAGAACAGTTCTAAGTAGTTCCTATGACAAAACAGCAACAGTTTTGATACATGGATGGATGATAATACCTTCTGGGTCTCATCTTTTTTCTCCTGCTTGAGAATATCTGTGAGGTTGATCAACTTCTCCATAGCCTCCACCTGCCTGCTCAGATGCTTTAGGTACATTCCACACGCTCGACAGTAGGACTCCAGAAGTAACCCAAACCTCTGACTGACAGTTTTATTGTGCATTTCAGACCTACAAAGAGAGGAAGAACAGTTGCAGCTTAGAGACAAGACCACTTTGAGGTGCCAAAAATGAAGCTATACTTGTAACATCTTCGTACAGTCCTAAAATACATCCTCTCAAACAAGTTAACCAGGCAACTTATTCCCTTGTCCTTGATGGTTACCAAGGAAAGCAGAAAACTGAAAGCACAAAGATGCCTTGCTGCTATTTCTGTGTCTGATCACACCAGCTCAGAGCAGCATTTTTAGGTGAGACTGAGCTACAGCCCTGTGTGTTACAGACTGATCTATACTCAGTCTTCTCAACACCAGGAATAACAAAAGCCCATGTCATATTCAGTAAGGAAGAACACTGAGATATTTGGGCTATCAAGCTCTATAATAAGCCTGTAATAGGCAAAGAAAAATAGTTTTTAGTAAGCTTTTTCAAAGCTTTATCTGGTCACGTTGGGTGGCTTCCATTAAGCCTCATAGATTTGCAAAATTTTCTGGAAAAAGCAGGTGGGGGATTGGGCAGCTAAAAATGAGAGAGGCTTTCAGCAGTCTCAGACTACCTTGTTTCTACAATAATCATCATTAGGCAAAAAGAAGGACATGCCTAAGTATCTATTATTAACTAGCTTTTGAAACTGCAAGGCATGATTTCTATCACCAAACTCTGCATTCAAACTCTTAACCAATATAAACCCATTTTTATTTTGAGTGGTAATATTTTCTTAAGAATGGACACTTAGTATGCCAAGCCTTTAGAACAACTAATTGTTTGTTTACAGCTAATACGAACCCCACCACCCCTTAACATGACATTAGGCTTACTTCAGATGCCAAAAGAAGAAGTGTCCTATCCTTTGATTGGTCAGTGCTTTCTTGAGTAAAAATCTCACAAGCTGATTATCTAAATACTGTTCGTATTTCAGAACCTAGTCAAGGATAAAGAGAAGATTAAAATCATCATCTGCAGTTATTATTTCTACGAACAATATACAGATTAAAGACAGTTAAATAAAAAGCAATCTATGTTTTACATTAATTTCTGTAGAATGACTGATCTTGGTCAGTACTTAATACTTGCATGTATTAGAATTTGAACAATATATGGTAACTGTGCACTGGCTGTCTCTATTTCAGGAACTTACTATCTGATGCTTCCTTTACTGTTACCAAATATTTTAGCCTCAACTTGCTCAAAATTTTGAGAAGATGCTTCTGCTCATACTTTCCCATATGTTAGGGCAGCTGAAATAGCTGCCTGTTCCAGTTGGTAGAACAGTTTTGCATCTCTGCAAAATTCTGGCATTCAGTATCAACAAGCAAAACCACAGCACTACAGAAAATAAACTACATTTCATCTTCTCCTGAATAATCCACAAAGCAAACAGATATTTTTGCTGACCTATTTATCACAACATCTTAACTTTTGTTGTATTTTAAGCCTCTGTGATCGCTGAATACGCACAAGGCAACAAACACACTAGAATATGTTATATACCTGTACCAGCTGGATTAGATACTGAGACAGTTTGTCATCTGTCAGGGACTTCTCCAGGCACCGAACTGCAAAAGCTCGCACCATTGGATCTGGATAATTACAGTCCAAGAGCTCCATTGCTTGCTCTGGCTTGATTGAAGGCCAATCTTTTACCAAACAGTACATCTGTGGACAAGAAGTCCAAGCACATTACAGGTTTGCACTGGTTAGGAAGAAGTTGTAATACAGAGCCATTGGCAGGTGTTGTCAGACACAAACTGCATCTGAGTCAAACCAATTTACCTCCTTGTCCTCTCAATCAGCAATTTGATATTAGCTGCCAGTTGACTTTGTTGTTTTATCCACTACAAAAAGGATGAAAACAAAACCTCACATTTAACTGCAACTGACAAGTTGGCATCAGTAAGAGGGATTCAAGTAATGCCAACCAGGAGAAAATCTTAAGACTCAGGCTGAGCTAAAGAACAAGAACTCTGGACCAGAGGCATCTGTCAATTATAGTGGCAACTTGTACCATCCAAGTTTTCATTCAATGTATCATGCACACATAACGTGTTTTTAACTTCTAGGAGTTTTCTTTAAAATAGCATATTTTAAAGCTTCTTCAAAACTTGAAACTTATTCAGTGATTTAAGTTACCTGGGCCACTTCATCTCTAGAGTTCCATTTAACAGACAAAAGTAACTTGGGCAGAATTTCTGGAGTATTCACACAATAGTGTCTGTGAAAGAGAAAAACATTGCATGTAAAACCCATCACTTTTGCTTCAATAACCACCTACTATGTCCCCACAGCCTTGCACCTTTTTCTTCCTTTGTCAGCAGAATCCCATGGATACCATGATGAGATCCATGCATGCAGGTGAGACTGCAGCAACAGGGACAATGTGAACTCATTCAGCAACTGACTTTTCTCCACTGGCAAGACATACAATGCAGAACATTTTGCAAGCCTTGTCTAAAACACCGACTCCACAGTACGGAGGAAAAGGGAGCAAAACCCAATATAATCATGACAAATTTCGAGGGAATGGGGTGAAGTCTGGTTATACCAACAAGGGTTTTTCTTTTGTTTGGTTTTTGATTTCCAGTACCTGTGTCTCCAGAGGAAGTCCTTCTCTTGCTCAGTGATTTCAGACAGAGGGTCTCGTGTACAGATGGCTCGCAACTGCTCCTTGTCACTCTCTGTCAATTCGCTGTCTCTGGCTATTCTGTTACTCTGCAGAGAGAAAGTGGTACATTAACCCTCCACACAATTCTTTCTGTTGCCATACAACACACAGGAAATACAGTATTTTAACATTTCAACTAAATCAGCGGTGTGGAGAAATGGCAGCAGCTGGCATCTGATGAACAACATAATGCAGCACAAAATGAAACTGGTCATTTCTACCCCCAGCTTGACATTGCTGAGAGCTGCTGAAAGGAGGGAAAAAGATTCAGAACTAAAAAAGAAGGCTTTTCCATATTTAACCACTATGACCTTCTTCTATGGTGTTGCAAGGATTAGCACCAAAAAAAGACAAGATAGTAATCCGAGACCTTATTCTACTTCAGTTTGTTTTGTTTTTTTTTTTTCAATTGTAAAGTGTAAGTTGACCACTACTTTGCCAGTGAAGTGAGTTTATCCTCCTCATCATTTTTTATTTTTGCCTACAGATGAAAAAAAAATGAGTTGAGCATACACAAGCCCAGGTAATAGGCTGTGTTATAGCAAAGGACTGTTTTTTACCAAGAAGCCAGATGGCCTTAAACATTTACTGAGAACCCTGCAGCACTGCTGCATAAACCACAGCAGATATGCTGCTCTACAACAGACTTCCTGCAGAGTATCAAGAGAAATCAAATGCCTACAGCCTGATGTTCAAGATATGTTGATATGTTATAAATATCACCAGAATTCCCAAACTGGATGCTCACTACCACCTACGCAGTTTTTGGCACAGAGAAACTTTCCACCACGAGACTCTTCTTCACAGAGACCATGGAGCTCTCTTGGGGAAACTCTCAAGCCTTTGAATCAGCCTCCAGAAGAAAATGTAAAACATACCAACTAATTTCACAGCCATGGCTTTAAATACAGGGAAAATTTAGCTTTGCCGCTTTTCTTTTTTTTTTAACTTCTTTTATTCATCCAACAAGTGCTTTGAAGAAAGCTCCAAACCTCACCAAAAAGCCAACTGTCGATGCCCAAGCTCCCTTCCTTGGAAGAGAAGAGATAGAGGACTGCACCCATGTGTATGCCAGTCAATTCCCTTAAAATTCCTTCTACTTATGGTTCATAACTAGCCCATAAAACAGATAGTAAAGAGTTTAAGCACCTCTGGGTTGCACAGGAAAGCCGACATGTAAACACAAAGAAACTGCAACAAAGAGAAACAGTAACACTGACGGAGAATCACAACTTTTGAAAAGTTAAACTCAGTAGCGTAGACACTTGAATTAGCAATACAAAAATGTCAAAAATGCCCTAACAGTTTGTACAATAAGACAGTTTCTCTTTGAAGTGTTTTGGTTGGTGAGTGAAGCATTAGGTCAGTTTACTGGTAATATAAAGAAGGGAGAATATATTACCCACTTTACTAAACACTCAACAAAAAATTGGTTACTCGATTTTACAATAAGTCAGGGCATAAAAGAAAAAATTTTTATCAGTAACACACTGAGTAAAATAAAGTAGTAAATAATACTTTCCTATTTGAGTAGCTGATCTTGGAAGGGGGGTTTGCCTCACCTGCCCTGCGTAGCTGTAGTTGAATCCCAATTCCCGTGATATTGTCCAGTTGGCGTGTTCTTCTATCACTGCCATATCTGGAAACTTCACAGGATTGCTGAACCAATCAAACTCCAGCTCTAAACATGGGGTTTCCTGTGCAAAGGGAATTCAAATTATTTTTTCTGTTGAATGACACTTCTTAGAATACAGCATATTTTGAAAATAACCTCTTAAGGAGGAAGCTGGCATGCAAATACCTTATTTGGATTTGATCCAGTAACACCAATAGGATTCAACAAATCCTCCAGCCCATGAGGTACTGCCCAGAGATTCAAAGCCATTTTCCCAGATACAAGAGTGTCTGTGTAATCGAACATGTTTATATTTCCCCAAGCCAATGGACAGTGCTCCTTAAAGAGATTAAAATATGATTTTTTTTCAGTGTCATCTATGAATTACTGCAGAGTGAGTCAGAAGAAACAATATATTCCTCCCAGATCAAGGTGTTACGTTCCCAGATTAGCAGAAAGCAGGTTGTGGAAGCTGAATTGTATTTTTCTCTGAGTGACTGTCACAGCAGTCATTTTACAAAATTATATAAAATGAATTGCAAACACATGCTAACACCTTCCCCACACCAGAACAAGTCAAGATGATATAGAAAGTTTTTTCGACACAGAGAGACTTTTTACCAAGGCCTGTGGTGAAAGAACAAGGGACAACAGTTTTAAACTGAAAGCCAATAGTTTTAGATTAGGCAAAAGAAATATTTTATTTTTTTTTTATTATAAGGGTGGTCAGGCACTAGCACAGGTTGCCCTGAGAAGCTGTGGATGCTTCATCCCTGGAAGTATCCAAGGCAAAACTCCCCTATATAGTACCTGTGACACACATTCAAACCCAGAATGTAATGATGCTGGTGGCTAGAATTAGTTGGCTCAGAATGTTGCAAGTAGAGTCTTAAAAAGTACTATTTGACATCTTGCATCATATGATAAAGGAACACAGAATTTCTTTACTTGAAAATTCAACTCTAAAAGTGTAAATATTGTCCTTTAAAAATAAATAGGTTAGTAACATGGGTCCAGAAAATTAAGTTTAAAACCATTTCCACTTCAAAACACTAACACTGGTGTTTGTGTCTGGCAATGCAGCATACACATGATTTACAGTGCTCAATTGGTAAGTTTTTTCTGTGTAGTTTAATTTCCAAACACAAAAATAGTGGTAGCCTGAATAAGACACAAGGAAAAAAAAACCTCAGCCTATTTTAAGCAGATTCAAATCAAACAGTGCACTAAGAGTCCTTGCCAGGACAGCATTTACCACATGTTTTTCCCAAACTCGATTTAAGTAGCTTTTGCTCATTAGTGCATTAAATCCATCAAGTATTTTACCTCCTTCGCTCCCTTCCGGCCTTTAACAGAGCAGATCGAGAGGCAGAGCCGAGCAGCACGTGGGAGATCAGGAATGTACATGTCATACAACAGCCATTCATTCCATCTGGGAGATTCAGAAAGCAGAATTAAACCAGGTTAAAGGAGGGCACATATTGCTACACTGATGTAAGGTTTAGCCCGTGAAATATTTTTCACTTCAGGGAAAAAAAGAAACCAGGGAAAAAATGTGGCACAGCTTTCAGAACTGAATTAAATTTGAACTGCTGAAAAAGATAACTGCAAGATGGGGATGTAACATGGAAACCCAAATCAATATTCCTAACTCAAATATTATTTTATTTACTATAGTAATAACAGCACAGATTGGTTCTATGGGAATAGTTTGGTTTTGTTTTCATTAGCTTCTCTAAGTAGAATTTAGCTCTCAGTTGGAAGAACTGTGCTTTTGAAGAGGAACTTCTGAATACAGTTTCTTCTCCTAAGCAGATTGTCATGTTGAATTTTCTCAGCTGAAAAAGGCAGCAGTTTCCAAGGACAGCATTAATTTTTTCAATGTGTCTGTAGCTACTAAAAGCAGTTTTACACAGAAATAACTGTGAAAGCCTTTCTCTAAGAATGAAGAAATTGGAAGATAAACTTCAAATTGCTTTTCTTATGTGTTCATTTCATAAAATACAGAGCTGTGTGATTATATCCATGTTTTTAAGTCATAACCTTCAACACCTTTCCCAGATTTTCTCTCTGAAACAGTTTAAACTATCAGTTCAAGTACAGCTATATTCAGGGCAACTCAGAAGGAGAGTCTATTTTTCAACAACTATGTATATTATTAGCCCTCTAATTATAAAACCCTCTAATCATATTCATAGAAAACGTACAGATAAAAATGAAAGTTTCAAAGTTTATTAACAAAGACATGAAGTCAGAAAATGCAAGTCAAGAATTACTTCTGCACACACACTTTGCATCTAATCCTAGCAGATGCTGGAATTTCACACCTCCCCATTAGCTGAAGTTATGAGAACAGGCAGCTAAAAGATGTCTTCAGTGTTTACACATAAAAATTGGGTTTTGCCCTTGTGAGTTCAGGTGATTTATTTTTCCAGATAATATTGACAGTACGTCAAACACCCTGGAAAATCAGCCCAGCTCTGGCAGTCACTTCCATGTTAGCAGGTTGAGAGATGCCCATCTCTCCACATCCATGTGGCTCCCCTTTGGAACACGCTGTGCAACCCTCCCCAGCACCAATCTGCAGGCTGCACGACATCACACTGCCTCATGCTGAAAGTGTTTAACTTACCTGGGATTAGAACAAGGTACCCTCTGAGTATTCACATTGTCACACAAAGGTTCCCCACCATGGTAGATACCTGTTCTAACATAGATCTGAAAACAACATCCATATTAGTACTGCCTCTGAAATGTTGCTATAAACAAATTTTTGCACTGCTGTCAACACATACCATGATTACAACTCATTATCCTTTCATTTTCAGCAAGTGCAAACCAAAAACAAAACTGAAAACCAAACAGCCCCATCAATCTCCAACCCAAATTAATTTGTGCTCTGTCAGGTGTGAAGCCCAGTACATAAGCAACACCTTCTAGAAAAAGCATTTTGGTATTTTTCCTTATTAATTGCAAAACTAGACCTTAAATAATAAAGCAACCAACTTGAAATGAACACTAAAAAAAAAACCAACCCTGGAATTTATTCTCAATTCTCCCTGTGCCAAGGTACAGTGAAAGAAAAGACCACACAAATTCTGAGGAAAGAGAGCCAGGGTTGCAGATGTCTTCAATGGGATTGAACCCTCCACCTGCCTTTTCTGCCTTATCACCCCACACCTCTCTTCTCATAAACACAGACAGCAGCACATTATCCAGCATCCCCTAACTAAAAGTAACGTCAATTACTCTAACACATTCTTAAACATAGCTATTTAGAAGCAAAATGGGTTTTCTTTTTCTATCCAATACATACTTTGCTGAAGGGAACTATGCAAACTGAATCCTGCTCCTCCCAGGGCTAATTACCACAACTGGCCCTTTTTAAGCAGTATACAAGTTTCCATATGCTGAAACATGGATGTATTCTTTAGAATTGAGTACTTCAACTTAAATAAAAAGTGGTATAATTTTCTAACATGTTAAATATCTCTTGTTTTCCAGTGTCAACGCAGAACCGAAAACTCCGGAGGGAAACCATGAGTTGCTGCAAATCATGTGATGCCTTACCTTGTCTATGTCTCTAATGTTCACATTTACATAGGTTGCACAGAGGATTCTTATTCTGAGAGCACTGTTTATAGTCCAGAGGGATTTGGTTGTAGCCTCTCCGTTCATGTAGGGTGTAGCTGTGGAGATCCTCCTGGAGTAGGATGGCATTGTGAAGGTGTCCAGGGGCAGCTGGGTGTACAGGCTTTCCTTGGCCATCAGCATCAGGTTGGGCATCCGACCCAGCATTATGCAGCTTCTTATGTACTGCAGCAAAACAAAACCAAAATGCTGTTACGTTTTAAACCTCCACACTCCTGGTGATTTAAACCTATTCAGGGAATCAGAAAAGTAAAAGCGTATTTAAAGAGCTTGTCATGTCCCTGTGTGCACACCCTTTAAAACGTTCATAGTTACAATATCCAAAAGTTTCGATACATGCTGGGTAGGGTTGCACAGCTGCACTTGATACAGATTTTGTGATACAAACAATGTTACAACAAGAGGTTGAACTGATCAGAGGGAACAGAGCTGACAAAAAGACCAGCCAGGTTTCTTGTAGGGTTCTTTAGCTCCGATGCAGCGCAGCACAAAGCAGATGGATTCGAGCTGTCCCTGGAAGCAGCTGAGCTGTTTTTGAACAGCGAGGGCTGTCCCATCCCTAGCACAGGTGACTGGTACTCCTGGTCACAGGCAGCAGCTCGAGGCAAACAGCAGACAGTCATTTTTGGTTCAGCTGTGCTTATTACCTTACACTCAGCACTGATCCTCACAGACTCTGCTCCTGACACACTTCAGCTGTAAGGCTGTTGGTGTCCAGTCAGGTCTGAGTGCTGAGAGTATTTAGTCTGGCAACAGTACCACAAAACACAGTGTTAATGCAGGTCCAGCCCCGGAGTTAATGAGCAGGCTCTGCCGCGGCACAGCAAAGGCAAACCAGATGCTTCTGAGGAAGCCACGCTAGATCAAATAGGTCTGGTGTTTGATCTTAAGATGACTCTACAGAATTATTCATGTATGCCTGCACTTGTTCCCCAGCTCCCATAGTACAGAGCTGCTTTTCCCATTACTCAGGATCCCCCACCCCTCCTTCTCTCCTCCACTGCTCTGAAGATCAGACTGTCAACCATTTTAGCCGAAGGAATGGAAGCTGTTTATTACAACAATTCATTCCTCAGAGAGGAAGCAGCAGCAGTCTGTCAGGAAATCTACAGGGTGACATTGTTGTCTGTTCCAGAGAGGGCTGCTCAGATGCTCTTCTGTCAAATGTTTTGTCTCACACTCCCAGCACTAACAAAACCCAGGCAGCGAAGGACAGACAGACACAAGCAAGGCTTAGCAATGATTTCTGTGGTGCTGGAGGTTTACAATTTTTATCTTATTAAAGGAGTGATAAAGATATAAGTCACAGGAAAAGAGAGTTTTTTCTTTTTTTCCACCCCTTTAGGACAAGATTTACGGTAGCAACAGTTGCCTCATAATTTACAATCTGACTGAACTTCCTTTTGTGTTGCATTAGCACCATTCAAATCTAACTCATCTCTTGCCATCAAAAATCTAGGATATTTCTGAAAGTACCTACCATTGATTTATCACTACTGTCACAGTTAAGAAAGAAGAAGAAAAATTGCACTAGTGACACAAATTCTAGTTTAAATTACATTTTCTCCCCACGCTCTTCTGAAGCACATAAAGCAACAAATATGCACACTACACACATGCATCAGTCAATTTGTTTAAAGGGGCATATACACTGTTACTTCCTTTGTCTTGGATTAATTTAATGAAAAAGCCAGACCTAAAATTGACCCCATTTCTCCCCACAAATTCAGACTATTTTAGTGCAGTTCCAAACACATCCTTTATGTTCCTTACCTTGTACTGGCTCAGTGGACATTTTTCTAGCAAGTATTCATCGCAGCCACACACTTTTAAAATGTATTTGCCCTGGTACTCCAAGACACAAAGTTTCAGTTGTTCAGATGACAGCAACATGCTTCGTGTTTTCTTCCTAATTGCTTCAGCAATAACTTGCTCAGGCACACAGTCATGGTTGATTTTTAAGGTGTATTTCTGCTTATCATTGTTTGGTGACACTATTACCCATATCACCACTATAATTTGCCCTAGAATAAATGTAAAATCACGTTAGGTCTATCTTTTTAATGCAGTTTAATAACAAAAAGCACAAACTTCCCCCCCCCCCAAAAAAAACCCCAAACGAAACAACTCCCACCCCTTCCCCAACACAGAGAACTGTTTTCAGTATTAAAAAAAGATGTAAACAAGATTCATAGTCCAAACTGACAGAGCGTTTATAACTTCTGCAAGGAACTGGGTGAGATCAGTTTATTTTTGACTCTAGTGTAAATTCAAACTTTTAGCCCTGAGGTTAAGAATGTTTTTATTAACTGAATACTACTGACTATTTGGCCTTGAAGAAAACAGCAGTAACTCACTCATATTTCAGGACTGCAAGATAACTCACTGATCCAGCGTGATTTAATTCCAGAGTTCTGAATGCCATAGAAAACTGCAAAACCCATTAAAAAGTCACCTGTATTTACCGAGTTATATTTCAGGATTTATTTATCAGAATAGCAAAAAGTGTAATTTTAATTATTGTTTTGAACCCTCACTCTATCAGGAAAATTATTCTGAAGCACTTAAGGTGTAAGGGTTTGCTAGAGTGTACTAAATACAGTACGTAAAACAGTGATTTACCTAAGTCACCAGCTGTGCTCTTTGATCTCAAACACTGAAAATACATTTGTTTCTACTCTGAATATTGATCTTACCTTTGTCTAGTTTATTGTATATGTGTTTGGGTAGTTCAGCTGAAGACTCTACGTTTGGAGGGTAGACGTACAGTGCTCTGCTGTGCGGTGCATTGGCATCTCGAAGATCCACTGCTTCTTTACAAACATTGAGAATGTTTCTCCTGAAGTCTTGTACTTCTGGATCCTTGACCATGTCGAATTCACAGACAGGCATGCCAATAGCAAAACCTGCAGCGTGGAAGCAGCACGAGGAAATAATTGTAACTGACAATTACACCTAAAGATTCCTTCTATCAGTCACAAAAAAAGCAAGTTTTAAGTAAAACACAGCATAAACTATGTTTGTTAAACTGGTTTCTCCTTGTATACTTAATTGCTTTACATCATTCAAAAACCACACAATTCTAAAGTTAACTGCACTCAGCAGACACAGAAAAGGTTGGAAAACAGGTGCCCATTCCCTAAAGATCCTGGAAGCCTTAAATCACTGTTCTCACAGCTGACATTCCTCCTGGAGGAAAAAGACCAGTACTGAACTTCCTTTGAAGTCAGCACAAAGTTTCCTAAGGGGACCAGAGGAGCTGAGACACCTGATTTTTTGTAAAACCCTGGCAGGATTGTTGGTAGCTATTAGGACCATAATCAACTGTGCTTACAACTGAACGACAGCTATTAATATTTTTGTTTAATGACCTACATTATTTAAGACACACAACAAGCACTCCAAGAGATACTGAACTTGAGCTCTTTGGCAAAGATTCATGCAATAACAGTCCACTTCTCTCGGGTCCTCAGTCTCAGATGTAATTCCATTTGCTTTAATGAGATTACTTGGATATATCATTATTTATGCATGAATGTTCAAATGGAAACTTTCAATTGTGGCATAGCAGGGTTCCCTGACCACCCCTCTCCCCTGGTCCTGAGCAGGTTGAGCTTTAAAAAACAGAAGCAGTTTACTTATGATGCATTCACAACCATTAAATAATTTAACAATTAGGAGCACCCCAGAACAAGTATTTCCAGTTGACAAGTCTCTACCACTGCAGTACACACTTGTTAGCAATGAAACGGGAGTGGGGATGTTTGCACTGCCTGAATAACCAAGATGCTGGAATATAAGCCAGTCTGCCAGTGCTTCCTCAGTGGATTGTGGAAAACAATAAGCTACTCCAGAGATTATTCAAAACATCACAATTTGTCTCCCCTCTGCCTCTCCAAACACCTCAGGTGTTTCCCTCCTCTTTCCATGCTCTTTTGTCCGAAGGGGAAAAGGGAAGGCAAACCCAACTAATTTCTGAAATTTCACTTTCTAAGCAATCCAGAGCAAATGTGTTATTGCAGATGTGGTTTAAGATTTGTAGTTACATCCAGAATTGACAATTCTGTAAACTTCAAGACAAATTATGACTGACTTCCCAAAACATAGAACAGGCTTTGCTCTGGAATAATGCAAAATCCTGCTAATAAGAGACAAGCAAAAAAGACATCCTCTAACCCACAAGCAAGGACAAATATGTTTTACAAAGCCAAGGCTTTAGATGTGAATGAATCAGAACAGCAAAAGGAGTTTAACTTACAGTTTACAAATATTGGCTTTACTATGATCAGCATCCTTGCACATTTGATGCAACAACTGACAGTTACAAAATGCAAAAGTGACAAACACAACCCATCTCAGTCCTTTATCTTTTGAGGAGGAGAAGTCAGTTAAACAGGTTAGCTATGTTTAAATAAAATATAATCTCACCTATTTCTCTATTAAGAATCTTTTCTTCTCTGTTACCTACTGGTTCAATAACTTTTAAAAAAGGCTGAAACAGTCGCAGGTCACAAAGTCTCCGCGTTTCATCAAAAAATTCTTCTCTTTCCGCTTCTTGCGTAACACTTACAAAAATGTAAGAAGATTCGTCCTGAAGGAGCTGATAGAGAGGGTATTTCCTTGCTTCTTTAAAGAGTTCATGTTTAATAGTCAGTAAGGTGGCCTCACGGAGGCATTCTAGTGTCACTATCATTCCATTTGGGAGGAGGCATTCCACAAGGATCCTCGGGGGCATCAAGTGGATGCCCCATAGTTCACCAGATGACGGCCGCGGAGGCATTTTTAAGTCTTGAGATAACTTTGTACTCCCAGCTCTTCAAGCAGTGATTCGTACGTGCAAGCCTGAGGGAAAATCAGAAATCTGAGTATTAAAATTTAAAATACAGACATCGCCAGGAATCGCAGATAAAATTCTTCGAACACCGCTTATAATTACAGATGAATATTCATGGCTATATTTCACGTTCACAAAAAAAAGGGTTGATAAAATTGATGCCTAAGGAACTTGTATTTTATCTAAATATCTATTCAAACAGAACAGTTAATAGCAGAATCATATTAGTTTGGGAAAAATGCCAATATATATATACAGTCTTAAAAATAGAGTGTGTGGGGGTTTTTTTACCTGAAAGATGAAAATATCCAATATTCAAATTATTACAGAAATTTTTAAACAAACCTCAAACCCAGTTCTTCACATTTTAATTTGTAAAGAGAAACGTATTATCATTTGGATGATACAAACCATCGGCTTTGTTAAGTTTAGCCAAAACCGATGCTTCCATACTTCTTTTTTAAACTTTTTTCTCATCTCAAACCTCCAAAGTATTCAAACAACACCAACATAATAGTTATAAATATTTACTAAAACCTCTAAGCTTGAATTTAAGAACCCATGTACACACAAGATTGGCTGTAGCTTTTTTAGATCAGTATAAGCTACTTATTGCAACAAAACCATGAATGAGACAGAAGAACTGAGCTCCATTAACACTTTTTAGTTGGGCTCACTTCATTTAGCATCGATTCCCTGTTCTCGTTCCCTTTGGCAGCTGCACGAATGCCTTTGCCAAGCCAAAGGAAAGGAGGGGAACACGTGGCTGACCTTCCAGCTGTGCTGCTCATGCCCCCTAGAGCAGCTACACGAAAAACGGTATCTGGGCAGAGCAGAGATGTCTCACAGCCCAGGGGCCAAGGGCAGACGCCAAAAAAAAGAGCAGAACCACCAGGCAGGCACACAGTGATACTTCACCAATAAACACTCGCAATCACTACCTATTTTTAATGTCCTTAACCTGAGGTAACATTTGTGTATTTGCAAAAGAAATCCATCAAGAACTGCAGAGTTTCTTCAGGATGTTTTCACGCACAAACTGTTGGCATCCTGGGACAAGAGTGAAGAACACTCCATGCTGCAAAATATTTGCTCCTCTTTGTTCTGAAGCCTGCTGCTTTCACCCAGTATCCCAGAATTTTGGTAACGAAACCAAGTTCCTTATCTTTGCATTCCTTGCTCTTAATTTTACAGAGATCCATCACAGAATCATTAAATGTTAAGGGTTGGAAGGGACCTTAAAGATCATCTCGTTCCAACCCCCTGCCATGTGCAGGGACACCTCCCACTACACCAGGTTGCTCAAGGCTTTGTCCAACTTGGCCCTGAACACTTCCAGGGATGGGGCATCCCCAGCTTCTCTGGGCAACCTGTGCCACTGCCTCACCACCCTCACAGTAAAGAATGTCTTTCTAATATCTATCTAGACTAAATTTCCCCTCTTTCAGTTTGTACTGCTCCTTGTCCCATCACTACAGTCACAAATCCTCTTCAGATTTCCCCTCTATCTTAATTTTCTTAATAACAGAAAGGAAGGGAAAGCCCCAAACCAACAGCTTCACATCACTTCTGTTTGACCAGCTTTCTGAAAGCTCTCACTGTGGAAAAGCAATGCTTGCCCCTTGCTCAGCAAATTTTTAAAATGTATATTTATATAAACATATATTGTGTATATACAAATAAAATTATAAATATATAAAAATTATATATAATTTTTTTTACATAAGTTAAAAAATAAAATAATGATCCTCACTTCTGCACTTCTATGTCTTGGTATTTATTTTCTGAAAAGTTTTCTTTCCAAGTACATCCAGTACCTGCTCTTGCCACACTTCAGTTCTTACAAAGACGCATTAGAATGAAAATGATGTTTTCCCAAATCCACTGCTTCCTAAGCAACTCTGAGTAGCAATAGGGTTGTCTTTTTTAATCCCTCCTTTGTAGTTGTAGTTTGGGCTTTTAAAAATATCCACACCAGTACTGAAGTGCCACTGCAGATTTAGAAAAATGCTTTTCCACTAACACCTCATGCATATTTAGAAAGGCTTGGCAAATGACTTCTTTTTCAAAGAGAGCTTAAAGAAGCTGTTTTATTTCCCTCACCATTGGAATAGCCTCAGTGAGCGGATGCTGAAATGGGAAGTTCTAAGCACACACAGTGTATTTAAAGAGGCAAGCTTGGGAAGCTTACCAATTACAAAACATTACCAGTGAACCCAAATAACACCATTTAGAGTAACTTGGAGGATTCCAAATTACCAATAACTATCCTAAGCTTACAGATAAGAAGAAGTACACAGGTTAAATGGCATCTGTTTGATCAGTCGAAGCACTAACAAGACTCCCTTTCCATTTCACTGCATCAAGTGCCATCAAACTACATTTCTTAATTACAAGCACAGGCAGAAACACATCACTGTTATGGCATAAACCAGCACAAAAACCCCAAACAAACAGAAATATGCAGTCATATGAACTTTTCCTGTCCACACACATACAATGGTAGTATAGAGGGACCACAGTCAAATTAAATATTTACAACACTTGACTGAGTTTATACCAGAAGTCTTTAAGTTCAGTTCCACAATCCTGCTGAGACTCCTCTGAACTGTAAAAGCCTATTTTCACTGCAAGAATGGTGGCTCGTTCCACTGTAATTTTTCCTTCCTCCCCACCAACAATTGCCAATGAAGAAACAGAGGCAGCAGTGGGAGACACACACATACACATATTAAACCCTTAGAGCCGAGTATCTCTTCAAAATAAATGTCAGCCCTGGCTTCTTTAATAATTCAAACGTTAAATGACAACTCTATACCATTTCTTCAAAAACTTGCCCACGGTCCAAAAACTGGCATCCCCAAAACCCACACTTTTACAGAGCAATTGCACAGAGACAGCAGCTTTTGTTTTAAGCTGGGATACAGACATGTGCTGGAAGGGTGCACACAGCCATTCTGTGTGCACATTCATCTCACTCGCACATGTAATCACGCCTCCAGGGTTTGGATTTGGAAAGCAAAAATGTAAACAGAAACAGTTCTGAAGTATAGCTGGCAGCTTGTGTTTCTGTGTACACTTTCAGATCTGGAAGGCTGCCTGGAATAAATAGAATCAATTATGTTCTTCGACAGTGAAAGGACTATAATTTTAAGGGAATTCTAGAGAGATGTTATTTAAGTCAAGCGAAGGGCACATGAAAACACTTCAAATGAACGCTACACCACACCTGCAGTCCCTGACCTTCCAAAAGCACTTTAAACGTTTTTCCCCTGCCAAAAGCTTTGGAACACCTGGGCTTGTGCAAAACACTTGGCACTGTCCAGCATCCTTGTCTCTAAACTGGACTCATGGATACGACGGATGGACTGCTCAGTGGATAAGGAATTGGCTGGATGGTCACACTCAGAGTTGGGGACAACGGCTCAGTGTCCAAGGGGAGCCCAGGGACAAGTGGCATCCTCAGGGAGATGGGCCTGGACAGGCTGGGGAGGTGAGACTGTGCAAATCCTGGGAACTGCAACAAAGCCACGTGCAAGTTGCTGCACCCGGGTCAGGGCATTTCCAAGCACAAACACAGGCCGGGAGGAGAATGGATGGAGAGCAGCCCACTGCCCTTGCTGAGCATCCAGCCTGGAAGTGATCAAGTTTTGAGATTCCGTTCAAAAAGAGTTAACATACATGATTAACAACACAGATTCCTACTTGCTCCCAGATACGCTTACCATATTAATGCTGATTTATATAATCTATTTTCTTATGGGATAGAAATTAGCTATCATCTGATATAAGTGATATAATCTCTTATTAAGAATAAGAGATTCCAAGTTTAGAAAATTTAGTTTTGGTAAACTATGACAGTTTCATCACCTCACAGGTAAAGAGACACTGTGCATGTCAATGGGCCAGTCTGTGGAAAAAAAAATTATAGTTCCCTTTAGGAGACATATAGCTAAGGCTCTGTCTCATCAGCACAAGCACCTACAGTTACTCTTCAGGTTCTAGGAGGAAATTTTTCCACCTCTGATGAACCAACTAGCAAGAAACCTAGCAAGCATAGAACGAAGCAAGAAATACACTGTGCTGTAACATTGTATTGAATGTATAAAGTATGGGATGCTTATGCAAAGAGGTGCACACATTCCAGTGACTGAGACCTGAGTAATTCTGCATTGCTGTAAACATCAGCTAGTGTTTCAAAACCCATTCAAAAGGCCAGACTAAACACTCAGTGCAATTTTATCAGTCCATATTTGAAACTGAATGAGTCATTCAGTAAACTGCTACACTTTAATTGAGGCCCATTAGTTTTTCCAGTCACAAGACAAATCCCATTACACTGTTTCTGTAGACAGGATGTAGCAATGTTTTATAATAATTTGTGGTATCTCTGGTATCAGAGAGCTGCTCATAAGGATTTGTGTCTAATTTGATTTCTTTTCCAGGCAGAAGTTTCCTCTAGAATCCCAGCTTTGCCTTAAGAAAAAGGCTTCTATTCATTGAACAACCTTGATTCTCTATCGAATAGACAGAATCAGGAACTTACAGGTATGACCCCCAAATAAGCTTTTATAGAATCTCCAAAACAAAAGCTGTGGGTTTGTGTAGATAAGAGTTCCTGGAAGAAGAATAACACTTTTCAGAATGCAAGAGACATTTCAACCTTCCGTAAGTGCCAGAACGCTTTATCCTCATCTTGAGACACATCAGGAACTCCAAAACATGAAGAAAACTGGGCAGAGTTGTCTGTCTAATTTAGCTGCTGTCCAAACCTGCTGTGTGGTGACAGTAAGACTGCCCCAGACTAGATATTTTCAGTACTGTCCTTTTGTTCTTCCTGCTTGCCAAGCTGGCACTTTTCCAAAATCCAGGAGGACTGGTACAAAGATGTCTGAAACTGTCCTCCATGAAAACATTATTACACACAGATTTAAATGGTAGAAATACTGCTTTGTTTAGAACAGAAAACAGAAGATGTGGCATTGCAGTCGTGTCTCATTTCTTACGTTTTACTTTCATCCCTATTTCCCAGAAAAGACGCAGATACACGGAATTGCTTATCTGATCACAAACAGCAGCTCGAGGGAAGTAAACAGAAGGGTTTAACACTGTCAAAAACATTTTAGCTATTAGTTTCCCTCTGAAACAGGCAAACAGCTCCAAACACCACCAATTTTATTTGTAGCTACCTACTTCTTCCCCCCTTCAAAAACAGGGCTGAGTACATCTGCCCTGCTCTAGAAGGAGCCAAAGTTATTGGTAGCATCTGTAGAATTACAGTACTGCAGAAATATAAGGTCATTCTTTCCTGTGAATGTAAAACCTCCCTGGAAATCAGTGAAAAGCAACTTCAGTTGAGTTAGATACAAGAACATGGTGCAACTATGTTGCAGAGCTGTTTTCTTTAAAGATATCTTGTGTCCAGGTTTTTTTGTTATTTTCAGAATACAATATTCCTGTAGGGACTTTCAGACACCACGAACAAAATTAATGGTGAGGTCATCCTTAAAAAAAAAAGAACTCACTATGAAGTGTTGCCCAAGATGTAATATGTGTTTTATGTTGCTGAATAAAACAAAGGTTCAAACAGCTGCGACAAAACCGAGATGAAGAGTTTAAAAGGATTTACTATTGCTGGAATAGTTTGTTTTCCCCTCCAAGAAAATCAAAAGAGCTTTGTGAACTCTTATTTTCAAATCCCCTTGCTCACCCTCCCCCACCCATGCAGGCATAGTGTTTACAGCTTCACTCAGTGTCTGGGAGCCATGAAAACAGGATCACGAGAAAGAAACATTCGCGAGTTGCTGGTGACCTCTGCAATTCCCACTACGACTGTGCTTTTCCCCCAGGGATCCCATGACATACCAAAGGCAGAATGTCTGTCCTAGAACATCTTCTTCCAGTTAAAGGCAGAATTAAACAAAGGAAAGCCCGGAATTAAATCTTCCTTTTTAGTCTGAAATCATTCAGTAATTCCATTTCAAGATCCACCTCAAAGGGCAGGACTTTGTTATTTATAGAGGACTAACAGTCATAAAGCACAACAAAGAATTAGAAAAGCAATGCATCTTCTCTTTATGCTTCACATATCTGCTTACTCATTACTTCAGCAATCAGCTTGGCTTGCTGTGTTGCAGGATGAGAATTTCTCTCCCACCTGGCTCTGGCCTGGTTGGAGCTGTTCCTCCACAGCGAGGTGTGAGCTCTGGAGCTCACTGAGCACCACTCGAAACTCTTTCAAGCTCTTTAAAAAAAAGCCTTAAAGTTTGGCAACAAAATCAGAGCAACGTGCTACTTTGTACCCACAGAAATAAGGTTTTCCTTTGATTACATATTTTCTTTAATACTCCATTTCATACGGCTGACAAACATTGTTTTAGGTGAACAGGAACAGAAGGAACATGAAGCAAAAGCACACCATGAACCATACTCTGCTCCTTGCTACAAATAGTAAAGATTTCAATGTCAGCTTTTGCATGCAGTTCTGCTTTTGGAAATCAGTGCAAAACGATGTAAACAAAAGATCACTCTAGAATGTAATTCATTAAGACAGATTTGAGAAGCAACAAATGCCGAACACATAACTAAAAATACAAAAAGTCCACCTTAAATAACGTTGTTTAGTTTTCTTTACATGTTTCTTCCCATCCTCCCACCTTCCTGGGATATTTGGACCGCAGACAGTAAACAGGATCTTTAAAAACAGGAAGTGCTGGCACAGGGACAAGGAATGGGAGCAGAGTCAATCCAGGTGTTCCGCGCCGCGGCCGAGCCCGGCTCTCCACGCGACGGGAGCAGCTGTGCAGCAGACCTGGGATGGGGCCTTCCCCAGCGCTGTCCTCCCCCGGGCATGTCACCTTGGCTCTCAGAAGTAACTCCCTCTGCTGCAGCGAGATAAACCTCCAGTTGCGCTGAGGAAGAGGAAAGATTTCCTCTCCCACTGTCCATACCCAGAAGGGCAGGGAAAGCACTGCAGTAAAACCCCGGAGGTACTACAGACCTCACACAGACCCCACTTGCCTCCCTAACACAAGCAACAGCAACAAGAGGGTTCAATCTACAGTGTTCACCTGACCAGCTCCTCTGGATGGAAAGCACAAAGAGCACTGTGTGTTCCTCAGAAAATGTGACTGAGGTTAGGCCCACTCCTGTTTACCAATTTACATTCATCTTTACACAAAATATTCACCCTGTGAGCCCTTTCTTTACTAAGAGGCATCTGAGAAAGACATCAGGCTCAGACTGACTTACAGTATCTCGTGTACTTCCCATGTAACATTTCTTAGGATAAAATCTGGCAGCAACTTTAAGTTGAGATAATGGTTTTCTGCTGTACTAAGTTACTCCAGACCCTGAAAGCAACTAATGTGTAAAAACAAAAAACTTCTGCACGGACTTACTGAATTCAGTTAGCAGAAACAATTATCTTTTATTTACTGGCAAACAGAGGATGGGATGCAACTTCACTTTTGTTAGGACATTTGTAAGGAACAATTGCCTCGGCAAAAGCTGTGGAAGTAGGCTGTTTTATTTTCCTCTTTGTTTGAGCTCCTAAACTGAAAAACAGACACAATACTTTCTCCACTGAGCTATTTCTTAGCTCCCTTTTCAAAACCATTTGTTGAGAGAAGGAAGTTTGTAGCAGGGTTAACACAAAGACACAGCCACTGTAATGAAAAAAAAAAATTCAATTCTGCAGCTAAATACACCAGTGCTATGAACAGCTGAAATTCAGATAGTTCGTAGGAAATTATCCGATACAAAGACACGTGGAATAAGATAGCAGGCAAACAAATCCAGTTCCTTGCAAACCCTGCCCTACAGAAGCTACACGAGCTGTAACCACAACTGGAAAACCCCACGGCTTTTCAAGAGCCAGTCAGAAACACTGAAATCTCACTCCCTAGCAAACTTGTTTGTGATACAGAGTCAATGGTGATTAACTAAATATTTATTTAGCAGTAGATGATAACCCTGCTGAAATGCAAGCAGCAACAGTTTTCCATAGAATATTATCAACAGACCTTTATTTACTCCAGCAACAGACGGAGACGGTCCTGCCTACCCCCCACACCAAGTGGGGAGACTCTTCAGCTGCAAAGCACTTGGCACCAGTGACTGCTCCTGTCAGGCTTCATCTCCCTAAAGGTCAGACATCCCACGGGTGTATTGCATCTAAGCACCAAGGAAAACTGGGCCTTCTACCTGACACCACACTGAAGACTGAATTCCTGATTTTGTAAGAGTATCTGACTACATCATGTATGTTAAAAACAAACCAAAATTTCATCAAAAACTTAGGGAGTTAATTCCTGTTCTCGCTGTTGACCCCAGAAGAACAGCCCTTTTTTCAGGTTCGATGCCACCATCACGATGCTCGAGACATTAATACATTTGTGTTCAACAAGTGCAAACAAACACGAGTCACTGTGACTGTGAATGTCACTAGGTCCTGAAGTACAAAACCAGCTCTGGTGAGCTGTGACAAACGGTTCTTCAGTGTCTTTGTCCAAATGTTTATCATTCCTGCACATGTCTGTTGGAAGCATCTGATGTGATTCAATGTCAAAGTCCTCTGCCCAAATTAAAATGAGACCAAATGCGGGTTCAACAATACTGACTTTGTTATATTAAGTGTACGGGAGAAAGAGAGAGAGGGAGAAGACAAGAAAGTAGAAGCAGAACAAAGTCACTGCTGAGGATCCAGTGGCATCCCACTGGTCCTTACACCGTCCCTCGTTAGTGGGAGTGGTTTCCAGCTAGCTCATTAGTGTGAGAGTGAGCATGAGGGGCAGGAGCATCGTGGTCTCACCACTGCGCATCCTCAGGTCTTGACTGGGTGGCTGTCGGGGGGTCTGCTCTGGGGGTCGTGCGAGGCAAATACCCCTCAAAATCAAGCGTCCTATTTGTGACCCCACTTCTTGCCCTGGTTCCATAACACACCCCAGTGGAGCAGCACCGTGAAAAGCGTCAGGATTGGTCCTGCCTCCACAAGGCCAGAAGTGAAACTGTTCCTTTTTGAGGCTCCCGCAGAGGCACCCAGGGTGTTTCTGCAACAAAGTTTCACCACTGAGCTCCGTGTTTAAGGCATGGTCTGCAAATGTGATTAACCCTTTCCTTACAAACCACACAAAATCATGATTCATGTGTGGGGCTACTGGGTCACTAAGCTGCTTGCAGTGCATCTCTTTTTCCTCTACTTCAAGCTGTAACCCAAATTGTTTCTCTAACGAGGTCAGGGTACCAGCAATTTGTGTTTAATACATCTAAAACACATGGCTAATGTTCGCATAAATAGATAATGTTTGTAGTTAACATGAACTTTCCAAAGAAGTGAGGTAAGCTCATAGGTATTTAGGCAGAGACTAATCAGCCACATCTCCGCAATGGTTTAAAGATTTCCCAGCTTCCCAGTTTGGAAAGTCACTTTCATATCCACATTAAACGCTTTGAGACTAAGGCAAAGGCAACCTCCTACTATAGTCAGAGCTCTGTTAAGAGGGATACATTAAACAGAAACATTTTTATTTTTAAAAAGCCAAAAAGATACTGGCAGTAGCCAGTCACTGCTACTAAGAGAACTTTACACATCTGCACAAACAAGGAAGTATTTTTTTAAATACATGGATAGTTCATTGGAAACATTTTGTTAATGTTTTTGTAGGTGTGTATATTCAAAAAAACTGAAAGCAGTTTTCAGACTGGTGAAGTTTAACCCTGGAGCAGAAGAGAAGATCACAAAAGCTGAAGTGTTTTGGATTTAATTTTCACCCATTAAAAAAACACTAATTAGGGAAAGGTAACTATCTTGCAAATAATCTTTTTTGTTGTTTAAGTAAATAACCTGCTCATATACCAGGACAAGAAGAGATTAGAATCTATACTTATGGTTACACTTATCATTCTAAAGTTGTTTGTGATACTCTCCTATCTGCTGATATAACAACAAAAAGCTTGGAAAAGAGGTAGTGAAAGAAGAGTTGAAGAGCTAGATTGCAAAACAATTTGACAATGTATTCAAGAAGAGTTTCTGTAGCCAGGAACAGGTTTTGATATCCTACTTTTTGTGTATCAACCCCCCTTGTTTTACTGCTCGTTGGCTTCCATTTCCAGTTTTCATCTTTATCTCTCAGTGGTAGTTATGCCATCGCTCCCCAACACGTCAAAACATTCCAGCGTGGAGGTATCTAAGATCAAGGGAGTGCTGCTGAGCAGTGATAACAACATCAGTGCTTTATCCTCCATTTCAGAGCAAGCTGAAGAGGAAGGCAAGTTATCAGAATTTTACTAACCACAACCTTGGTAAGAAGAGAAACATGAGAAAAAGCGTTAAACTTCACTTTCTCAAATAAAACGTTCAAGTCGATTTAAGCCCCTTCTTTTAGCTAGCAAACACTTATCCAAAAATTCGCATAACTGGTTAAGTTTATCATCTACAATGACATCATTATAATCTCACATATTACTATTTTACACCAAAGTACAGATGTAATTTCTTATAAACCAATCTTTGAAACAAACTTCTCTAGACTAAGAGCAGCACTCACAGGCGCATCCTCAATTACACACCACAATCAAGACTGAGATGTCTGGTTGTCCCTTAAAAATTAGCTCTTTTACCTACACACTATTGACTTTCTTGGGACAAGTACCCTTTTACAGCACTTTGTGCAAAATTGAAGATTTCAGAGGTGACAGCATGAAACTGAAAGAAGATAAAATACAATATATTAATTGCTTTCCTCCCACCAGTGGAGACTGCCTTGATAAACTGGTAGGTGGAACTGGTTGTTCAACATGCACAAAGGCAGAAGAGCAATTTTCAGTTTTATTAGTATCACTTCCACTTTTATAATCCAGTTGCAGGATTTCCTGATTATTCTGTTGAGAGCTGGGAATGTAAATACAAAAATGAAGAATAAGTGGTTATGTTTTATAATCTAAGCAGTTTAATGACACCACAAGCATATTTTAGGGTATTTGGAATGATAGTTTTGACTTCCCTTTTCCCAAAGGAAGCTAGCTCTATATAGAAACTTCTTCTTATGTCAGCACTATTAACTTCTTTCAAACTATGCCTGTAGTCAAGAGCCAAGTTAGTTTTCCAGCTTTAATGAAAAGTAACTTAATGGCACAAGCAGCGAAGTTGGGATCCCATCCCAGAAAACATATTTATTGAGTTTGAGAAAGAAACAAATCATCTCCACTGTGCTTGCTTGGTAATCAAGTCTTTACCTTCTGCTCATTCTCCCTTTTTTGTGCTTGTATTTTCAAGCACTCGGTGTTTAGTTTACCAACATCTTTGCAGACATCGGTCTCCTCACTTTTCCAGCAAGTCAGATGTCAAAGTCCCAAGGTACAGGAAATTTTGTTCTGTTAGATTCAGATCACAGAACAGGTAGGTATTTCTACTTGTTGCTGATTAGCCTCAGATGAAATGCCGAGTCTTGATCATTTTCTTTTCAGTAATTTTCAAGGTTTCTTGCATTTCGAAGACATTCAAGAATTTGTTTCTTTGTTGACTGCTAATAGCTAAAAGAAGGAATAAGGTTCCAAAAAGGAGTATTTTTTTTTATTCCTCAACTTAGTGTCCTCTGCACTTTTCTAGGACAACAAATGTAATCTCAGCAGAAAATCCATGTTTCTGGAAGGAGCATGACACAAGTTATGAGCAAGAGTTAAAAACCAGGAACAGTCTTGGTACATATTAGGCAAGAGTCATTCATCACCATTAGCTGCTACTTAAGTATTGGCAGAAGACTGACTAATGAGTATGGAAAAAACCAAATCCAGTTAAGTCTTAATGACAGATAAGTTTTTTGACATGTTGTATAATTTAGGAGACAATCTTCCAGTTTTCTTTCTTTTCTGTTTGAGAGAAAATAACCCAAGGGATGTATCTCTACATTTCTTTGCCTTAGAAGAGGGTCATAATATACAGTCAATAATATGACTCAGCTGTCTTGAAATTTCAGGGAATTCATAGTCAGTCTTAGTCAATTCAGTAAGTCTCCTGTGTTTGACAAATATGCTCTGTGGCTCACAACCCTCAAAAGCTACATTTGCAAGTGTTTCCCTAATCAGAAGCTGCAGGCAAAAGTGCCAAAGTTTTTCTACATAAAAATCCATGAATGTAAGGTAATTTAAGGAAATGTGTTAACAGGTAAACCAAAAACCCAAACAACAAAAAAACCAGCCTGAGGTTTATCTAACCCTCTACTGGTAAAATGCAATGGGGCATGAAACCAGAGATCACTGAACCTTAAGTTCTATGTTTGACCCAACTGTTTGTACTTAAACTAGACTGAAGAAGTCACTTCTGCTGCTGCAAGTCAGCAACATCCCAGAGGGACAAGAGCTTCACTAGTGTTCCATCACTTCTCCCCTTCAATGTAACAAAGGTAGGCTGGACCCTTACAATTTAATTTTTACATTTCTGGAGCTCAGATAGTTTTTCAAAGACAGACTATAAACATTCCCAGGGAGTTTCCTTAGCAGGCATAATTGACCAAGTGCTTTTATTCCCCGCTTTGGTGGCTGTAAGAACACTCTTAATAGAGAACAAGTGATGATGTCTACTCACATTTCCTGTTTGAAACACATGGGCTTCTTAAGACTGCCTTTCACAAAATCTGTGCCCAGAATTAACTAGAAAAATACTTTTCTAGAATTCAAGTGTAAATACATGCTATATAAAAGAATGTGTGTGCTACAAAACCATTAAGTATTGCTTAGACTGAGAAGTCAGATCCAGAATTACATAAACTGTACTCAGCCTGCTGCATTTCCATTTGACCACAAGTTAACATGCAGGATTTATAAAAATGCCTTTTTTTCCTTTTCTAAAACAGTTTAATTCCCTCTACGCCTCACATCCCCACTGGGTTTGGGTTTGTGTTGGGTTTTTCGTTTGTTTTGGTTTTGTTAAAGTTAATACTATACCAGTACTGCAAGGAGACAAGAAAACCCACCAGTTAATACACAGAGTATTATTTCTGGTTCATTTAACACTTCATTAACCATTCAGAAATAGAGCTATAGAACAAATTCAGTTGGGAGGAACCTCTAGAGGTTATCATGACCAACCGTGCACTCAAAACAATTCACATACATTTGCTGTCCAATTAAATACAGAGAGAAACAAATCTATTTTCTCTCTCCCATTTGGATTAGGATACTACAAAGAGACATTTGTAACAGAATTCTTTGCTATGACACATTCAACTTAAAAGAGAAAAAGAAAATTCCCATCCAGTTTTAGCATAAATATTTTTGTGGCCTCTTCCAGTCATAGTTACAATTTCAGACAGGCATCATCCACTTGGAGCAGCTGGATGTCTGCCTTTTTAAAAGGATGATACAAATCTCCCACAAGCCTGGAATGTAACGCATAAAAAGCTGCAAAAGCCCCAAACCTCAGCTAACGCTAGAAGCCAGTCTGTTCTTCAGCTGGCCAAAGTACAAACTCTTATTCTTTCCCTCATGCTCCCCCTCCAACTTCATCACACACACACACAAAATGCACATATAGCCCAATTTTCCTCAACAGGCAGGATTTACCAGATCTCACACATTTTTTAGTAATTACAAACCAGTAAGTAATAAGGCAAGACTTAGTTTTATAAAGGCATTTTAAGACTACACTGGAAAGACTAGTTTTGCAGTACTAATCTTGTCCAGTTATAAATATAAAAAAATCAGTTTCTGCATGAGCATAAAAGTAAAAAAAAAACCCAAAACTTAACTTCCCCTCACTCTAATACAACATTCCTCAAATGTCCTATTAACTATAACATTTGTTAACCTTTATTAATGTACTTAACTAGGCAAAGCAAACCTACATGATACCAGTCTAGAGATACTAGGATTTCTTGCATGGTTTGGAATTAATGTATCATCATCCCAATTTCCTTTCTCCTAAAACAGGCAGGGAAAAGCAATGTGAACAGTTTTCTATTTGGAAGTGACTGATATTTGCAGGATGTTCAGAGTATTCCTGGTACCCAGAGAATCTGCACCAGAAGTCTCAAAAACTACATAACGAGTTGACTTTTTATGTGCAAAAGCAGTTTTTTGCAGGCTGAATGTCAGCCTTAGGCTTGTTGTCTGGCAATCTACAGATAACTTTAATTTGTTCTGAGCTGAAACTACGATGATCATCAAGGTTGTTCGAATCTGAGTTACACGTGAGCAAGGCATTTAAAAAACACACCCCACACTACAATCCAGGGAACAACTGTGATCAGGAAGTCCATTCCCTATGTGATAACACCTTTTAAAGGTGTTATTTTCTTCCAATAACTGGAAACCTCTTGTGATATATTTTCTCTTGTGATGGTACAGCATTAAAGCCTTGCTGGTTGCAGAAATTCATACTGTAAAGCTCTTGGCAACTTTCAAAAAGTGAGTTATCCAGGAAAAAGTATCCCCCGGTTTGCTCCCAGAAAGCAGGAATGGCCTGATTATCAGAGAAACAGTTAACTAAGTACTGAGCTACTTTATGACTTCCAATAAAGCATAATTGCTTTGTAAACAGCTCAGCTACACCACCTTTCCCAAAGAATACTCTAGAAAAACCACATACACACACAAAAAAAGGAAACAAAACCCAGAAAACCCATCTCAGTGCCATCGCTCATGCAGTAAACTGCAACAAATATAGAACAAAGTTGCCATTAACTCAGAATGACAGTTTGAAGCAGCCAAACAATTAAAACACTTTGGCATGGATTTGCAGGCTGATTTGTTTGCCTGCTCTGGGAAAACACGAAACTCTGTCTCCAAGTTGCTAAGAATGCCACCAAGTTAACACCTAAGGAAGTGCAGGGCATCTGCAACAGTCAAGTTACAACTGTTGCCACATTTATAAAGTTATATGTTATAAAGTTGCCACATTTATCGCCCGAATAAAAAAGCCGAATATTTCATGGAACCCATAAGGAATTGTGTGGTTTCATAAATTCCTCTGTGAACACTGAGCTTGGCTGATGTGTGGTTTGTCTACACTGGCTGAAGTATGCTTCCAAATATCAGTCTGAAAAAGTTTGCCAATGCTATTGTTTGAGAATAAAGCTATTTACTGGGAAGCTTTAGGTTCACATGGGGCTTTATTTTAGAACAACTTATCCAGTCAGTTCCTCACAGCAGATAAACCATTAAATCCCATCACCCTCAGTGCTGGAATATTACTAGGAAGTAAAGAAGTTTACACTGAATAACTGGACTTTGATTATTACATTGCATCACAGAAATACAGCATAGAAGCAACGAGTATGAGAACATCTCTATAAATTAACTGTGAGGTGGGAGAGACTAATGAATGATTCAGATCATGATGGGAAAGATCCTAACTTTATCCAGTGTCATAAATTTGAATGCCTGCTATAGCTCCAAGAAGGGATGTGAGGGCACAAATAACTAATAGAACAGAATAGCTTCTGTCTATTAAGGTCTACAAAATCCAGATTCAGAATCCAGTTTAGCACTTCTTTACAAGTTTGCTGCAGAATTAAATTAGGAAAAGCTTCATAGTACCTACCATTTACTTTTAAACATATACTTTCCTCCTGCTTGTTCTGCATGGGCAGTGTTTATAAAGCACCCTCTGTTCAATCAAAAGAATTAGAGACCAAAAAAAAAATCAGAGACATACCCATAACAGCCACAGAAGTAATTGGCCTGATTCCTTAATAACTTCAGGAATACTGAAAAAGGCCATGAAAGAAGAAAAGGAAAACAACCAGGCAGTTTGCACTAGTTTGGCCAAAGTTTTGCTAATACTCAGTTCTACTATAAAACGCGCAAGTACTGGTAAGAAACAGCAGTTTTACACGTAACATCAGCAAGAGCAGATCTCGGGACAGCACGAAATTAGGTTTTACAGGCAGCACAGATGAGACACTGGCTCTGTCAGCCGAGTGCATCCTGGAGCAGGACGCTGTACGCCAGGATCCACACACACACCCATCGGGAGAGGCTCTGCTCCCATTTAACCACCGTGAGCCCACACAGCGCCCATCCCAAGAACTGCCGGAACGCACGGACAGAAAACAGCTCTGATTCAGGGCTGGAGGGATCCACACTGGAAAAACGACAACAACAACCCGCTATTGCCTCCTCTCCCAGGTCGCGTCCCTGGGAGCACCCGGAGCCCGGGATGCGCCGCGGGAGCTCTCCGGGCTGAGCGCCGCGCCCTGGGCCCCGCGGGTCGCGATGCCCCCGCGGCTGCCGGAGCCCCTCGGCCCCGCACCGACCCCGCCTCACTCACTCACTCAGTCGCTCACTCGCTCACCTCAGAACCGCGGCCTCGCCGCCCCGACCCGGCCCGGCGCCGCCGCCCCGCCGGGCAGCGCCCGCAGCGCTCGCCGCCGCTCCGGCCGCCCCGCTCCCCTCGGGCCGTGCCTGTGCCCCGGGCGCGGGCGGCAGCGGCGCCGGCAGCCGCTCCCCGAGAGCCGCCGCCTCCCGCACGGGAATAACAGGAAGGGAGCGGGGCTGACCCCGGATGGGGAAGGCACCGCCCGCCGGAACGGGAACCGCGGCGGGGGGAGGCGGGCGCGGAGCCCGCGGGGCTGGAGGTGCCGCTGGCCCCGGGCGGTGGCGGCGGTGGCTGCGGAGGGCACCGAGGGGACCCGCGGGATCGTCCTGTCTCCGCGCTGTCCCGGTTTACTGCCGTAAAGTAATAAACACCCCCGTGCCCACGGTCACACCGCGCACATCAGAGCGGGTCTGACCCAGCCCTGACCCTTCTCCCAGCTGGATCGCCAGTTTTCTTTACAATCTGAGCTGCCACTGCGATCGAGTCGCTGTACGTGAGTCTGGTTTTGTTAGAGTGGATGTGCCAAGTGGATGGCCCTAAAAATTGGAAATCTGTAACATCTGCGCACTTCCCAGCTGGTTTGGGTTTTCGGGGCTGGGGCACCTTGGTGAGAGCCAACAAGACGCAACAAGTGAGGATGATATTGAGGTGGTGACAGGAAGGAGGGAGAGGGATAACCTGAGTGATTAATCATCAAGGCATTTTGCTTAATCGCTCTGTTTTCAAGGGATATTTATCCTTTCATCAAGAGAGATGGCATACACAAGTTTTGGAGCCAGGTGTGATTACGGTGAGAGTGAATTCTCTTCCTGTAGTGATGTTCTAAAGGGAGGCTACAAGAGATCTGGAGAGGGACATTTTACCAGGCCTTGGAGTGGTAGGACAAGCGGTACGGGCTTAAAACTGAAAGAAGGGATGTTTAGATTACATATTAGAAAGAAATTTTTACTGTGAGAGTGGTGAGACAGTGGCACAGGTTGCCCAGAGAAGCTGTGGATGCCCCATCCCTGCAAGTGTTCAAGGCCAGGCTGGATGGGGCTTGGAGTGACCTGGTCTAGTGGAAGTCCAACCCAAATATTCTGTGACCCTATGGTTCTATGAATCTGATAAATGGTATGCTTTAAGAGCTAACAAAAATTAGCGACAATGAGTGCATTTCACTGATGGATTCCCGGATGCGTTCGCTGGTGGCTGCTGTAAAGTCTGGGCGATGGTTTCAGCTTGTAGTGACTTCTCAGCACTTTCCTGTTCCAACAAAAAGGGGAGAAAAACCAGCAGAAACTCCATATGCTTTTGAAACAGGGTGGCCCGACTGCACGGGTGAGGCCTTTGGGTGGCTCGAGGGGAAATTATTACTCACTTCGGCTGCGAGCGGCGTGAATAGGCTGAAGATGTTTATATATGCAAATCAGGCTAATTGCAATTCCTGCTGCGAAAAACAGGATCTGAAATAAATAAATAAACAAATAAATAAGCAAGCAAGCAAACAAAACGACCCCGTGCAGTACCACAACTGAGCACCGCAGAATACTCGGAGCAACTTTCCGACGGCGCTGCAGCCCGTAATGCCGCTGAGCGTGTGTTTCTGGGAGGCCGTTCCGAGCTCGGCCGGCCCCGTCCCGCCCCGTCCCGCCCCTCTGGCCGCCGTCACTTCCCGCAGCTGCCGGCTCGGAGCCCGCCGGCCTCGGCCCTGCCCGGCCCTGCTCCGGGGGCAGCCGCGCCGAGGGCAGCGCGGGGCCCGGCCCGCGGTAGGTGCGGGGAGCGCGGGGTGCGGGTTCTGCGGGGCCGGGGCGCGGTGGGTTCGCTGTCGGGGGCAGGGAGGGCGCGGTGGGTTCGCTGTCGGGCGCAGGGGGTTCGCGGTGGTGCCGCCGTGCCCGCGGTGCCGGAGCCCCCCGGGGATGCGGGTGCCGCTTTGGGCTCTGCGGTTCCACAGCGGCGCGGTGGTGCCGTGAGCTCCCGCTCGGCTTGCGGCTGTTCCCAGGCGGTCGATGCCAGGGCTTGTTTTTCCTTGTTCTCCATCCCCCCACCCCCCCAGACTGCAAGGCAAGCGGCTTGGCAGGGATGTCTGCTGGGACTCGGGATTTACACCGTGGTTTCTGATACCCCATTGACGTAAGAGATGGTTCTGGGTTACTGAACGTGTGCCCTCATCAGCAGATCAGTAGATGAGGGCACGCATCAATGTACCTTAAGGCAGAGCTGTGCATGGTGCGTGTTTGTTTGGTGCTGTCTTCAATCCCTGCAGCATTATAAAACAACCTGCCTTTCAGGATGATGGTCTGGAGGCCCAGTCCATGGCCAGAGGAAACTTTCTGGCACAATTACGTGTTAAGCGATGTCCGTGTTTTGTTTTCTTTGAGAAGAAACACTTCCTTGTCTTGAAAATTAAACAGTGAGACTCACAGCTTGTTCATCCTTTCTGTAGATTTCATCACTGTTGTTGCCTCAACTGCATTTAGAAACTAATTCTGGTGGGAACACAGATTTCTCTCTGTGGTTTACACCTGTGGCCAAGGAAGGTGACATTGTGCCTTCCCCATCAAGTGGTGCTCAGATTTAAGGCCAGACCAGCTTGTTTCCCAGTACTGTGCTGTTGTCAGAGGTTGTTCCCTGTTTCTGTGCCACCAGCAGTGCCTGGGCACTACCAGGCTGTTGTACTTGGGGTATGAAGTCTGGGTCTCCTCCTTCAGTGCTGCCCTTGGGATGCCCCAACCTGACAGGATCCCTCCTGTCAGATTGGGGCATCCCAAGGAGATGGGCTATGTGCCCTTCCACCCAAGGACAACTGGCATGGAATGGAAGAATATCCCAGCCCATAGAATGTGTTGGAGGAGGCAAGCCTGAACTCTGAGAAGTGCTGTCTTGAGGCAGAACATCTCCTCAGCTCACCCTGGGAAACTGCAGGTCATTACCCTGCCTCGGGCTGTGCTGTTAGGAGTCCTTGGTGATGGACATTCCTCATTCCTTTGCTGTGTCCTAGTGTAAAGGTTTTGCAGATTCTTATGTGAAGGGAAAGGAGGCGTTAAAAATGTCCTTTTACCTTCTCCTGGACAGGTTATCTGTAACAACCAGCAGTGGAGGGTGGATTAAGGGGACATGTAAATGAGTTGAATTTGAGTGATTTTTTTTTTTTAATATCAGTAAGAAAGAAATCAACATAATGTGGGCAGTTTCAGCAATGAAAGAGCACTGTCAGAAGATAGTTGCATATGCCAAGTCAAGAAGTTCTAATATTGAAATTGTCGATGCAGCTTTATCTTCAGACTACTGTTTACTTTAAGGAACAGTAAATGACCTTAAAGATTTTCTAAGAATATTATATTCTTTCCCCTGTGGGTACAGATCCTGTAAGCACTGAGTCCTGCCTTGTATATGACAAATCCCATTTGTGACAGTTGCAGGAAGACATGATGCAACAAACGCTCATGCAAAATTAAGCAGATGAATCTCGATTGCCATTTACTATACATCTCTTTATGTTGCTCTGTGAAGTATTTGGCTATACTTTACTCCCATTTTAAGGTAAGAGGCCCATTATACTGGTGTAATAAAACTCTGAAATTATCTGGCATGCTTACCTGCTTGCATAGTCGATCTAGTCTGCCTTGATAGGCCTGTGTTATGATATATTTAACCATCATGAATATGAACTTGGCCCATCTGTAGTCCCACTGATATTAATAAGACTGTCTACAGAGTACTAGTTGAGGAAACTAAAGGTAAAAAAGTTTCTTCTGTTCTGTTTAACCAGGAACATGTATGCTGAAAGTGGGAGAGAAGTTAGGTAACACTCCAGAATTTACACTGCTGATGGATTATTTGCAGCACGCAATTCCCATGTGTCTTCTTCCTTCTTTGTGGTGGATTCCAGCTATTTTTCATGATACCAGTTTTGACTTTTTTTTTATGGTCACATCATGTTAGTTATAGTTAACCTGGATTTTCACAGAGCCTTGGTGGCAGAGGACTATTCTAAACATAAAAACTCCTGCCGGCTCTATTACTGTCTTACAGCCTTGTCCCCAAGGCAGTGCATGCTGCTCTTGTTTTTTTAGTTATTTATTTTTTATTTTTAATTTTTTCCTTACCTGTAGTTACTAATCATAAGTAAACTGCCCCTTGTCTTGTGTCAGTGTAAGTGTGGGTTTGAGGTAAACATTTCAGAGATGTTTTTGTCACTTGAGTGCTTTAGTCCCACTGATTTTTTTTTTTAATGATGATCTTTTATTTTTCCGAATAGAACATAGGTCTCTCTGGGAAGACTTTCAAAGATAATACAGTACCTAAAATTGCAGGTATCACCTGGGATTTTCTATAGCTTTAGTGTAGAAGGTATTTGTGTCCAGCTAATTTTAGCAGATTGAAAATCCCGGAAGTTACCCCAGATAAATGCTATTTGCTTCTCCAGGTTCCTAAATGCCTTTGAATTCTAACTCTGTTTTCAAAAGTGACTAATTTTCCAGTAGTGTTGGTTTAAAATGCAGATGGGTCTCATTATTTGCTTAAACAAATGAACAAAGCCCATAGGATAAACATGGTTGCTGCCAATGCAGCCCTAGCTGGAAGTGATCTGCAAAGGCCAAGATAATGCTGCTCTTGATCCCAGTGTGGCAGTGAGCAGGATTTGTTATGATAAGAAGCTAATAAGACATTAACTAAAGTAACTGTGCCTTGATTCATAATGTGACTGTTCTGCATTATTATAGGGATGTTCGTCTGGGCTTTATTTAATTATAAACATTAATTAAATAAATCTCTCAGAACCTCTTGTTGGAAATGTAGGGCTAGTTCTAATAACTTGAATTAACTGAGAAATAATTGAATAAAGGCTAATATGAGATAAGTTCTCCATTATGTAGCAGAAGATGTAGCTTTAAATGCTGTACTGGTTGTTAGTAGTTAGTGAAGGAAACATGAGAAATAGCTCAGGGTCATTCAAGAGAGGCCTTGGGAGCTGACTGTGTACAAGATGTACTCCAGGTAATTCCTACTCTTTCTCTTTTGTTACTGGAGAAAAGTTAGATGTAGAATATCTCTCCTCCGGAAAGTCTTTTTGAGTATTTGAGGGAAAGATGTGTTTATGTATTTTGTATCTACCTATATACAATAAACCTGCCTCAAACTGTTTTGATTCTTTATAAGTCATCATTGCAGTAATACACTGTAATATTTGTTTAGGTCTTGTAGTGTGAGTTTGTCGTTAGGCTCCCAAAAGAGGACGTGGCTAGTGGTGGTATCCCTCCCATTAGCACAGTTATATGTCACCACTTCTCGTGGTCATGGGGCAGTGGGGGTGTGTGCTGTCAGTCAGGTACTGTGGGTGTGGTCAGGAATCTCCACCTGTCCAGGAGGGTGCCATGGGATCCACTTCTTACACGGTATCTTTTGGTCTGTCCCCGGTTGTCTGGGATGCTGCTCTTCCTGTGGGTTAAAGTGTTATAAAATGGCCTTATCCTGCTTGGCATTGTGAAAAGGCACAAGGTAGAGGCAAGTGGAGTTAGAGAAGTTGCCCCTGGGTTGTCATTGTTCCTGTTAGTGCTGCTGGTTTCAGCATTTGTGTCTCTCTGGTCTAGGACTGAAGACAACTCCCTCCTCCTCCTTCAGAAGTAGCATGCCCACAGTCTTCCTGGCCAATGATTCTTCTACAGCAATCAGCACTTCTTCCTCATCCTGAGAAGCCTTCATCTCTTCCTATGTCAGTGGCTACAAGGCCAAGAGCCAGCTCACCACTGTCCCCACCAAAGTCTCTCGGACTGGGGCCTTCCTTCCATCACACACAAGAAGAAGAACTTGCAAAGGTGGTGGAGCAGGACCCTATGCTGGAGGAACTATGTAAGCCCCTGTGCTGTAAGCTGTGCAATGTCACCCTAAATTCGGCCCAGCAAGCCCAGGCTCATTACCAGGTAAGGAGAGCAGCAGAAGGCACAGCTTTTGGGGCTCTGCTGCATCTGCAGCTTGTGTAGACAATCCTGTGTCAGTGTGAGCACTGCCAGCAGCGTTGCTGTGGCAGCACAGAGGGAAGTGTGGGCTAATGCACAAGGACTAACTCAGCTTCTCGAGGGGGTTTTGAGTGCTGTGTTGGGGTGGCTGCACACCAGCAGCAACATTTGAGTTGGCTTATCTGGAGCTACCCCTGCATCATTTAGTGAATGAAACTGCTCTACAGACATATCCTCACCTTGCATGGATCTGCTGGTTGTCCAGGCATGCTGCAGTGCTTTCATTTAAGGTGTCATCACTGGAGCTTTATTGCAAAAGCTTTGTCCTCAGGGACAGAGATGGCTTGGGTGAAAAACCAGACACTTGTGGTTTTTCCTTTGTTTTACGAGACCTATATTTCACCCTCTACATCAGTTCAGTAACGTTGAACTTGATTCAAGACATGATTTTCTGAGGCCTGGAGATATTTTTTTCTGCTGGATCCAGGTGTGTCGTTAGGAAAAGGGCTGCTGCCATGTGTTTACCACTGTCTCCTCCTAAGGCTGCACACGCCACTGATCTGGTGGGGCCATTTATCCAAACGCTCTCATCAGCTGGGTCAGCTCAGACCAAATTCATT